ATGTAATACACATTAATAGAACAAAGGAAAAAGTCCATAAGTTCATCTCAATTGATGCAAAAATTGATTAGATTTGACAAAATCCAATACCTTTTATGATGGAAGACACTCAGGAAATAAGGAATAGCTTCCAGTTCTCTCCTTCCCCTCACATTCTACTTCCTTCCTCCCTATTCACTCTAATCCTGTCTCATTCTTCTTACTGTCGTTGAGCATGCCAGGCATATATACCTGAGGGCCTTTGTACTTGCTGTTCTCACCTGAAACACTTCCTGCAGAAATCAACCTAACTAGTTCTCTCACTTCCTTCAGATTTTGTTCGAGTCATCTCTGTGAGGCCCTCACGATTTACCCTATCTAAACTTTCATACTCACACATCTTAGAATTTCCCCTTCCATATTTTTTTTTCTTATTATCATGAACATACTATGCACTTTTTGTTTATATTTATTGTGTTTGGAATGTAAGATACATAGGGCAAGTACGTTTTACTATTAATATTTTGTTCACTGCTATAGCCCTAGTGGCTAGAATAGTGCCTGAGACACAAGTGTTCAATGAATATATATTCAATGACTTAATCTGTATATAAGTTGAAGCTATATAGCATACATGAAAACTACAGGAATACTATGCAGAATGAGAAGGGATGTGGGTTGAGTACAAACCCTGGTGAACACCATCATGCAAGCAAATAGCAGTTGAGGACTAAATAAGAATGGTATTTGAGTTGACTGCGAGAGTGAATCTCATCAAGATTATTTAAAATCTCACTAAACTTTTTTCTAACACACTTGAACATAAAGCCTGAGATTTAATTCAACAGCATAAGAGAAAAAGAAGTGAGAAAACTCAGTGCTTACCATTTTCTGATGAAAGAATTTTTTAGAATGACTCCCTAGAATATTGCATTTCAAGGATTCTCTGGGAATCACATTGTGGGGGACTACAAAGGAACCCTTAGTGTGTCATGGTGCACACCTGGAGTTCCTATCATAAGGAATTTGATAACTTCCAAAAATAAAATGTGAATACTTACCCAAAAAGAGGATCCTTATGCACTGCAAATACTTCTCAGTAGGTAACCAATGGTAAGTCTAAGTAAGCATGTGTTTCTCCCCAAATGCTAAAAGAATGCAGCAGTGGGGTGGGATGAGTTCTTATTGAAGAGATCTGGGCAGTTTTGATGAAGAAGGTGGAATTCAAGCTGAACTCTGAGCAATGAGTGAGATTTTCAAATGCAAAGCATAAATTGTGTGTGTGGTGGGGCATGTAGGTAGCAAGTAGCTTGGGGTAGTGAAATCAGAACATAAATCTAGACATGTAGGTTGAGGCTTTGGCCAAGAGCCTTAAATGCCAGATTCATACACCTGTAGGGAACCACTGAAGATGTTTGAAAAAAGGACATGAGACTGGCATCAAAACAGAAATGTCATGTATGTCTTTCTGTTCTAATGAACAAGCAGGACTGCAAATATTTTATAAATGTGCTAATTCACTTTTGCCAGATTCAGTGGCTTAAGACTTTTCATTGACTGACTCCCTCTTGTTTTTAGAATAAAGACACACACACCTTTATCACAACCTACAAGATTTTTATAGTTCAGTCACCACTGCCTGTTCCCACCATACTGCACTTGCTATCCATGCTGCAGCTACATCGGCCTACTTGAAGTTCCCCTCCCACCATGCCTCTCCCACTATAGGGCTTTTGCATCTGCCGTCCCATCTACTGGACAGCTTATCCCCCTCCTCTTTGCCTACTTAAATCCTAATTCCTCCTCTTCCTTCTGATCGTGGCTGAAGCATTTCTTCCTGAGGAAAACTCTCCCTAAATTCCCAATTACACGCTGTCATGGCACTATTTCTCCACCTGGCTCTTTCCATTTTATACATATAGTTGTAATTCTTTGATTAACATGTCTCCTTTACTAGGCTAGAAGCTCCATGAGACGAGAGGCTTTCTTCCCCTGGCTGACAACTGTATCCCCGATGTCTGCACATCGAAGTGCCCAACAACTATCCATTGCAAAGAGAGAGAAAAGTCAGGATACCAGACAGAAGAACCATTTGGAGGGAATAACGCTTATCTATCAGTCTTTTTTAAGAAATCAGATAATGTAGTACTATAACTCATTCCATCCTCTACTGTTTTATTATGCTTTTTAGAGCTTGTTCAAACACACATACCTTGCTAGGATTCAAACGCAGGCTTGTCTGGTTAAAAAAAAAGAAGGGGGGAGTGTTTTCAGTTACAGTGTGTATGTGTGAGCATGGAAGAGGGAAGAAGGCAGAGTGAGCCTCCTCACAAGTACAAATCTGATCCTACTGTATTTCAATTATTCTTTTTCAATATATAGGTCATCAAGTCTCGTTTACTTAAAAGCTTATAAACCTGCAAGCACAGGCAGCAGACAGTTGTCAATATCCTTTCTGGGAAAGGTCTTGCTTATATGGTACTTTTTTCACTCCACTTCCTCTTATATGGGATTTGTGACACATAATTGAACTCAAAGAAGAAGAAGAAAAACAAACGCCAAAAAAAAAAAAAAAAAAATCCTGAATTGAGCACCTCTGTGTGAAGGCACCTAAGGCTAGTTAGTAGATATGTCCGATGCCAAGTTCCTCTGTCCTGTTTGGTGGCACAAACATACCCTTCTAGAGAAAGCAATAACTCATGGCTCAGCATGATGCCATTAGCATGCAATCTGTGAGTTTGGGTACATAATTTAACTTCTCTGAGCCCTCAGTTTTCTATTTATAACTACTGGACTGAAAAAATAGTGAGCACCTAACTCTGTCCCTGGTATTTTTACATGCATTATTTCCTCTTGTCTTCACAATAATTTCATGTGGTTAAAAATACCTTGTATTATGAGGGAAACTAACTTGGAGAGGGGGAATGCAATTTGCTTAAGTTCACATGATCGATAAAGGAGCCTGGGACTCAAATCTAGACCGCCTGACTACTATTTCTATGTACTATGTCTCCTACGTCAGCAGGCTATTGTAAGAACCTCACAAGGAAATGTAATTAAAAGCAAGTTTCGGCTGGCCGTGGTGGTTCACGCCTATACTCCTAGCACTCTGGGAGAAGCGGGTGGATTGCTTGAGGTCAGGAGTTCGAGAGTAGCCTGAGCAAGAGTGAGACCCCGTCTCTACTAAAAATAGAAAGAAATTAGCCAGGCAACTAAAAAACAGACAAAATTAGCTGGGCATGGTGGTACATGCCTATAGTCCCAGCTACTTGGGAGGCTGAGGCAGGATTGCTTGAGCCCAGGAGTTTGAGGTTGCTGTGAGCGAGGCTGTCACCACGGAACTCTAGCCCCGGCAACAGAGTGAGACTGTCTCAAAAAAAGAAAAAACAACAACAACAACAACAACAAAAAGCAAGTTTCAACTGTAAACTATAGTTTTAGTAACATTATACAATTTGCTACATTAGAGAGTAAGAACTTGGACCTAATCTAAGATTTTAAGGGTGATGGATTAATTAATAGAGAACAAATTAATTTTCTCCTAAGAATAGTAATTATTTCCTCTACTTCAAATGTTCTTAATTAAAAATAGGAAAAAAGAAAATAATTGAAAAATGGGCAAAGAGCCTGGATATTTCTCCAAAGATATACAAATGGCCAACATGCACATGGAAAGATGCTCATCATTAACCATCAGGAAAATGTAAATTAGAACCAAGATGAGGTACTACTTTACACTTCACACACTAAGATAACTATTGAATACAACCAAAAAGACAAATAATAGCAAATGTTGGCAAGGATGTGGACAAACTGGAACCCTCATATGCTGCTGATGGGAATGTAGTACAGGCATTTGCTGTGGAAAAGTTTGTCAGTTTCTCAAATGGTTAAAACAGTTATTGTAGGATCCAGCAATTTCAATCCTAGGTATACACCCATGAGTATTGAAAACACATGTAAAACTTGTACATGAATGTCCATAGCAGCATTATTCATATTACCCCAAAAGGAGAAATAACACAAATGACCATCAACAGATGAATGGATAAACAAAATGTGATAGTATCCATGCAATGCAATGGCCATAAAAAGGAATGTAGTCCTGATACATGCTACAACATGGATGAACTTTAAAAATATGCTAAGTGAAAGAAGTCAGTCACAAAAGACCACATATTGTATGATTCCATTTATATGAAATGTCCAAAATGGGCAAATCCATAGAGACTGAATTAGTGGTCACCTATGGCTGGGGTGGTGGTGGTGGTGGCAGTTTCAGGGTTACAGATTTCCTTTGGGACCAACAAAAATGTTCTAAAATTGATTGTGGTAATGAGTTGCCCAACTCTGTGAATATACTAGAAACCACTGAATAGTACACTTTAAATGCATGAATTGTATGGCATATGAATATCTTAAAAAAGTGTTTTTTTTTTTTTAAAAAGTTGTCTAAGTTCATCATAAACTGCACCTGCAATACTAGGCACTCATTGTAGTTTACATTGAACCAAATGGTTTTTTCTTACCACTGCCTGACAGTTGTTAGGATGCTAATAATCCTATTGCATTTGCATTGTAATCTCTGAATATCCTTCACAGAGATGACTTAAAATTACTTTTAATTTATGGACTTAAACACCGAATACTAATAGATATAATGCTAAGACTTTCAAGTAAAAGGACTTCTGGAAATCCATATATAGTATCACCATCTACCCAGTTAATCAAGAAACCTAAGAATCATTCCTGTTTTCTCATTCCTTCATCTCTCATATCAATTTCATCAGCAGGAAGCCCTATTTACAAACTCCATAAGGTAGGATTTTCTTTTTGTTCACTATGGTATCCCTGGTGCTTGGAATGGTATATGTCACATATTAGATGCTTAATTAATATTTGTTGAATAAATAAATGAATTCATGCTGTATTTGGAATTAGCACATTTAAAAGAAAAAATTTAACCTCTCACTTGATAATTTGTGTGTGTATATATGTATATATATATATAAACTTGGACTATGGCAATTCTATTTGCCATCCCAGATGTGGAAACATACTAAGGCTAAATTCTCAAAGGGACACAGGTAAGCTATGCTGCCAAAATATGTAGAACATAAATGTATTCAAGTTTGCTCTTGCTAACTGATCCATGAATATTTAAAAGATACTTTATTTCATAAAAACTTACATCTGTAAGTAATGGATTGACCATAACAGAGGGCTTAACCTGAAATACATGGATAGGCCTAGGGGCCCATGAACCCCTAAAATTGTATGCAAGGTCTAACATGTAGTTAACACGTGGCATGTGTATCTTTTTGGTGAGAGAGTTCATAGTTTAATCAGATTTCCAAAGAAGTCTATGACCCAAGAGAGGTTAAAAAATTACTTAACTAAAAACAGAATCACAAAGATTTTTAAACATGACTTTGTACAGTAAAATAATATCCAACAGCTCCATCTATGGGTAAGTCATTGTCACCTAGTAGAAACATTGACAACCACCAGAGATCAGTGCTTCTCATGAATGCTTGTGTTTAAATCTTCAGTGTCACTCTAGTGGGAATTTATTAACTATAATATCACAGCTTTTTTTCCCCCAGATGTAGATGCAAAAATTAGGAAACTGTTGATGAATTCTACTTACAGTACTTCAGCACCAAAAAATTGGGCAGTTATGCTGATATATGTATGTACAGTTCAACATTTGTCAGTCTTAAAATGCTTATTTATAGTGAAATCTATATAAAACCGTTAAAAATTTTCTATTTACATATTTTAAAAATGAAAAGTATAGTTTCCTTTACCACAACTTGTCAAAACTGACTCTTACCCTCCCACCCCCTTACCCCTCACTCTACTGTGACAGACAGCAATCACAAGACCAAAACATATTGTTTAAACAAACTGTGTCCTAAAAAGGTAGAATACTTAAAAACATTACATTGAGAACTGCAAATGAACTTTTTATACATTTCAAAGGGGCTTAAACAAAAGTATGTAATAAAAAATATTTTCAAAGTCTCAGTCCAACGTGAATGTGCAATTTCAACGTTCAGAAAGCATTGTATAAATGAATAATTTGTTTTCTTAACATAACTGAACATTTCCTTTGGGACGGAAAATGTTTCTTTTCCTCTGCTTCACAACGAAACATTTTCTAATAAGTTTTCTTAATGGAGGAGGGGAAGGGAGATGGGGGAGGGGGTGATAGCCATGGAAGGGGTTGGCAATCCTGATTTACAAGAAATTTGTCAGAAGGAATATGGCCTGCTTTGAAATGTTTACACTTAAATAAATAGAAGGTAAGTGTACTGCCTAAAGCACAAAGGTATAACACCACAATAAATTAGCATACAACTGATGAGAATGTACAAACCACCTAAAAAGCACTTCCCATTGGTTAGGGATCTGATTTCCACCATCCAACAAGGATTCTTTAATACCAATATTTTTCTAGATATTTATAAACTAATTATGAACTGAGCAAATGTAAAATGTTAACCAATTCAACACTTCCAGGGATTTGCAAAAACATAAAAGACTTTTAAAAAACTTTTCCTGATACATCATTCCAAAATACAAACTATTCACATTCTCCTTCAAGATGGTATTTTGCTCAGTAGAAACCAGTTGAGAAACATTCACAGGAAAAGTCTCTTTCCACTGCAAGACAAAATTTTTCCATAGGCCATGGTCCAACAGAGAAAGAATTCAGGTCTTAAGTCACTGTAGATGTGCACCCTTTTTTTTTCCTTTTTTCTTTTTCTTTCTTTCTTTCTTTTTTTTTTTTTTTTAAAAAAAGTACATTCCCCTGTGAGTTTTATCTTGTTTTAAAACGCTGCTCCTGCAGCAATATCTTGTTGAAACACTGCTGTTTTAGGGTCCACAGCCTAAGTATGGGCAAAGTGCTCTTTCTAAACATCAAAATACAAGGGTTTCCCTGGACACTTGATAACCAAGCAGGTTTTAAAGTGCACTACTGTGTCCAAAACACTAGGACCGTTCAGCAGAACTCTGAGAGGGGGCTGGGCTCGGTTCCATCCTCCGTGCTACTGTCTACATCCTGCTCCATTGCTGTCTCATCGTCATCCAGCTGCTGACTGGTGAAGTTATTTAGCTCAAGAAGCCCACTGGGTTCTACTACCACATTGGAGCTGGAGTGACAAGGAATAGCATACTGGGGAATGGCCTGGAAGAGAAGACACAGGAGAATCTTTATGGTAAGAAAAGGTAAAAGAAGGATTTCTCCAACAACTCTAAGAAAGAAAAAAAGAAAACTGACATTTATTGGACAACTACCACATGCCAGGCACTGTGCTAGGTGCTTTCACATATAATGCTCTACTAAATCCCCATGAGAAAATTATTCTCATTTACAAACGAGGAAAGTGAGATGGTAAGTGACTTAATCAAAGTCACAGAGTTGGTCAGGGTTAATGCCAGGATTCAAATCCAAGTATTATACCACTCAAAGTGATCTTTCTACTCCTTTATGGAGCCTCTTCTAACAAAAGAGGCAGAAGTCTATTGTCTAATTCAAGAGACAAACTTTGAAGGATACTTTCATTTGATCATTATGCAAATTTAAATGTAGTCAAATTTTGCTCTTTATTTGCAAGATGATTAATTTGCTGATACCACAATATATTTTAACCCTCTTTGGTGGTTCAAAAGAGATTTTTTTTTTTGAGACAGAGTCTCGCTTTGTTGCCCAGGCTACAGTGAGTGCCATGGTGTCAGCCTAGCTCACAGCAACCTCAATTTCCTGGACTCAAGCAATCCTACTGCCTCAGCCTCCCAAGTAGCTGGGACTACAGGCATGCACCACCATGCCCGGCTAATTTTTTCTATATATGTTAGTTAGCCAATTAATTTCTTTCTATTTATAGTAGAGACGGGGTCTCACTCTTGCTCAGGCTGGTTTCGAACTCCTGACCTCGAGCAATCCGCCCATCTTGGCCTCCCAGAGTGCTAGGATTACGGGTGTGAGCCACCGCGCCTGGCAGAGAAGTTATTTATTTGGGTCACACAGTAACAATCTTTATTGAAAATGAAAATAATGAAATCATTCAAGTATAAGACAGGTCAAAACTTGCCTTTAAAACAATAAAAATACCAGTAGATAAACAATTGCTATGGGCCTCTGAGCAAGTAAATACCATAGGCATTTTGACTTGTCAGATTCTTTTTCCTCATCTTTATTAGACATCTTTTTGTTTATTTCTTTGTTATTTATTTTTTTAGACAGGGTCTCGCTCTGTCACCCTGGCTAGAGTGCAGTGGTGCCATCATAGCTTGCTGCAACCTCAAACTACAAGATTCAAGTGATCCTCCTGCCTCAGCCTCCAGAATAGCTGAGATTACAGGTGCACGGACCACCACAGTGGGCTAATTTTTCTATTGTTTGTAGACACAGGGTCTCATACTTGCTCAGTCTGGTCTTGAACTCCTGACCTAAAGTGATTCTCCCATCTTGGCCTCCCAAAGTGCTAGGATTACAGGCATGAGCCACTGCACTCAGCCTCTAGACATCTTTTTAAAAGGTTCATGTCATACCTCTGCTTAAAACTCTGTAACTGTTTCCTCTTGTACTTGCTATATAATCAAACTCCCAGCCTCATGCCAAATGCACTTGTACGTCAGGGCTTTTGCACTAGTCCTTCCCCTCTTTGTGGAATACTCTTCCCTCTAAATCTTTGCATGGCTGGCTCTATACTGTCATCTTCAATTTAGCTCAAATGCTTGCAGAAGCCTTCCTTCTATAGCCACCAAACCAAAAGTAGTGGGTTGGTCCCATCCTCCACCTCTATTATTAATATATTCTATTAGATTTTCTTTATTGTATTTACCAAGTGTTTGTTAGATTGTTTTTTATCCTTAAGATATAAGCTCCATAAGAGCAGAGACAGAGCACAGACCTTGACTATTTTATTCACTGCTAGATGCCTAGAGCTTTGACCAGGGCCTGGCACACAGTAGATGCTCAATAAACATTTGACAAATGAATAACACATATTTTAGAATACATTTTTAATATTAAAAACCTCGGAGCAAAGTTGAATACTAGAGCTGTGCAAATATACCTGACCAAAATAATGTTTTATTGGGGAAAAGATATAAATTTAACACTATGGGAGGGGAATAAATTTAACGCTCTCAAGAAAATAATGCAATCAATAGGCATTGATTCTAGGATGTGAAGTTTTGTTTGTTTCTCCCTCTTTCTTTCACATTGCTTATCATTGTGAAAAACTATTAGATGGGGTGAGGAGACCTGGATTTTAGTTCTGCTTTGTCCCTGACTTGCTGTGGGGCTCTAGGTATGTCACTCCACCTCCTTGAGCCTTAGATTAATCTTGTGTAAAATAAGATAGTTGGAAGATACATTCTAAGATTTTTACAGTTCTAAAAATATATAAATTCCATATAGATGTCTTCAGGATAGAAAATATATCCACTTTGTTTACTTCCCTATCCTCAGCACTTAGCACAGTACCTGGAACACAGTGGTTAAAAAATACATATGGAATGAGTAAATGAATAAATGAACCAATGAAAGAAATACAGATTGTCTGTCTATAAAGAAAACAATGCATTTAACATCAAATGTTGGATTTTATAGAGCATTCTTCAAAGAGTCAAAGCACTTCACAGATTCAATAAATCAACACTTCAGATCAAAGTTAAACATAACTAATAAGATCTGAAAATGTTCTAACAATACATAACTGATGAGTATAATAGCAGGAGTTATCTTTTTTATGGAATACTGCTCTACATCAGACACTTGACCAGGTGGTTTTACATATTTTCTCACTTCATCCTCAAAGCAACCCTGTGAGATAGGTGTTACTGTTTCCATTTCACAGGTAAAGAAATTGAGGTATAGAGGTTAACTCAGTTGCCCAAAGCCACAGTACTATTACATTATGAGTACAAGTGGAAATCAAATCCAGGGATCTCAGACTCTCAATTAAGCCTTGTTCTTAATTACTCTGCTGCCCTTACGTCTGACATAGCACATCTAGCATATGGGACATGCTAAATTCTGGCTGAGAATTCTATGAGAGAACCTATGCATTAGTTATCATCCTTTACACATGAAGCAAATTACATTTTCACCCCTGTTAATATAGCAATCTGAACACCCAGCAGCCACAGTAAATTTCTGTAAAAACTTTACTAGTTACCACATGTTGGACAATCACTACAAGCCAGGTACTGTGCTAGGTGCTCAATTTTGTGTAATCCTTACATCAATACTATAAAGTAGACAATACTTATTCCCATTTTACTGATAAGGAATCTAAGTAGGGTGAGGTTAAGTAGCCTTGCCCAAAGTCATACAAAGAATGGCAAAGCCAGAGAATCATTCCTTTGCGACCATACCCTACCTCTTCAGGGAAAAATTTTAAAAATCACAAACCCTTTTATCAAAGATTATTTAATTCACTAATATTTGTTTTTACAAATGGAAATAAATTATTTGAATAATTCAATGGCCATTTCTACTTGCCTTTAAGCATTTTCCCCATACTTAATTATATCTTAATTGGTTTAACATTGGTTAATTTGTATTCTCTCATAGTTTGACACCACAGCAAAGAGAAGTTTACCACAGAAACTTCTAAGTCACACAACAGTGAATTTTTGGTAAATCCTAGCCTATTCACATTTCAATAAATCCAAATGCTCAATTAACTAAAATGTGCTGCTCTGATACCAGCTTAGCAAAAAATGACAAATGTCAAGAAAACAACCTGATACATTGACAAGGAGAGAGGGAAATAAAGCACAACTTCTAAGATATAATCTGGACTCAGTAATTCTTCAGTCTTGATCTATTATGCATGATGAGAGATGACTTTTAGAATGAAGGGAATGTGAGGCATTGGAAGATCTACTGTCAGTGAATATTCCATTATGTTAACTAACCTGTACTTACCAAAGCAGACAATAACCGTAACAAGATTTTTAAAATAACAATGATTGAAATAAAAAGCAAAGTTTATGGTTAATCCCAAGTTAGATATAAAATTATTTAGAAACATCTCCTTAGAACATGTTTCTTCAGACATTCCAAGTTAATGGAGGTTTGTTCCAAGAACCATAAATTTGGATAAAGAACAAGAACTGTTTTTCCAAGGAAAGAGTCCCTGAAATTAACATGAAATAAAAGTACAATCCAGTTACATTCCAGGATTTTTTGAGTAAAGATTGGAGAGTCTAAAATTTGAACCTAGGAAATCGCTAATCTTCTGGGTTGACCTGCTAACACATTGGGAAGTATGGCTTGTATCTTACAAAAATCAAGCTGACACATGGGCTTGGGCCCTTTATTGCCTTTACGATATGCTGTGTGACAATAGCCATCAATTTTCTATGATTCTCTTCGAGAAGACAAGTATAAATTTGTATATTTGTAATAGGTATTAAACCAAATTTGTCAAATACCACCTCAAAAATAATCTCTATGTCTTCTTGCCATCTTGGCCTGACTCTTCCTATGACATCCCAAAACACATCAAACCCTTAACCCCCAAGATGCTCAAGATTTCTCATTTTCTTTCCAATTCTTACCTGAATGATAATTTCTGCTGGGCTCTCTTCAGCTTTCTTTTGGCCTACATTCTGAATACGCATGAATTGGCCTGTCGTAGGCACTCCTGGTGCATCGATTTTCCTTGTCGTTAGGGGAGGGCCAACAGCAGATGGACTTGAACAGGACTCTCTACATTTCTGTTGCTGGGGAGTGGAATTCGCCATCCCTGCCACCACCATGTGGGTGGAGGGTAATGATCCTGCTTCACCAGTGAGCAAACTAGTGGCAAGAGCTTTCTTTGGGGGTTCCACTACCATATGCTCTACATTTGTATCAATCTGTGCTTCCATCAAAGACATTTTCAAAATGTCTGACACTGCTGTCTTCTCAGAGGCCTGAATGGGAGATATGCTTGTAACTGGTGATGTCAGCTTAGGCACAGAACTGCCACCAGTTATCTTTGTAACTGTGGGAGGCTGGCGCCCCTCAAAAGTTATCTTTGTAACAGAGGATCCTTGGGTTATAATTGGCTGCTCCACCTGAAAATAAATTGGGGTTGTGTGTGTTACAGCTACATCTCTTTGAGCAAAACTAATCAAACACCCCAGACAATATGGCAAAAGAAACATTCGTGCGGTATACTAGGAAGACATTTTTGAAGCTTGGTGTTTTAAAAAGAGGGCTAAATGGAAGGATCTGGTTACTTTTATGTAGGGAAAGAGGAGGGGTTGAAAGAACTTTTGTTCAGCCAGCCAAGGTTTATAGCAGTAAAGGGGAAAAAAAAAATTACAGCAGCCTGAGTTTTCCTTTGGGACTTATATCCCTTAATAGTATACCTTCAACCCAGCTCAAATTATTTCATATAATCTTCAGCTTTTTAAAATAAAAAGAAGTAAGATTTTTTTCTAATCTTTTGCTTCAAAATACATTTATACAAACATATTCTATATATACATATATGTATTTATAATATATACATACACACATGTATATCACTCCAGAGCGACTGACTTTCAGTAATAATTTTTTTCAATCATCCACAGATAATTCCTCTGCAATCTAAAAGATAAATCTAGAGATAAATTTATTAACTAGTTGGTGATGATGTAAACTACAAAGGAAGACGTTCAATGAAGTTCCTTAAAAGACTGCAGTTTACTTAGCATTATTGCCACAGAAATAAGAGTTTATAGGCATGGAAATAAATATTTTATACCTAAAAAATAAAAATAATTTAGAAATATCGCTTCTATGCACTGTTGGTCAATGCTGAAGTGATTTCATTAAAAACTGCCTGGAAAATCAAGTTCTGAGTGCTATGCTTTTTTTCTTCCTACATATTAATGCGTGCATTTCTTTCCTAATGTCAACCTTCTGATGGGGCAAAGTAATACCAGCATAATGAGGCTTTTGGGTTTCCTCTTGCCAGAAGAAAGCACTGCTACCATGATAGGGTCGTGATGTTCTCATTTTTTTTCCGTGAACAGAGAAGTTTAACTTTGCATGCTATCAATATTCCGTTACCTGGCTTGCCGGCTGTTTCTCTGACGAGGCTGGGAGCGACATTTGGCTCTGGGGGGTTTGGGGTTGCACGTAGATTTTTGGTTGGTTCGGAGCCTGCTGCAGTTTAGGGAGCTGCTGCGTGGTTTTCACTGCAAGCACCTGTACTACAGTTTGTGGGGGCTGTGCCATTAAGGTAGGAAGCTGCCTGTCTTTGGCCACCATGGGATGCTGTGTGTGCTGTACATCTGGCTTAGGCTGTGCTTGTTCTTGCTGGAGAGGGGTGAGTTTTTGGTGCCTGATGGAAAGTTGAGGCATTTGCGGGAGTTTGTGTTGGAGCTGGTCTGCCTGCAGGTGGATGGTCTGCTTCTGCTTAGTCTGGAAGCACTGCAGGGTTTTCACTTGCAGCTGAGTCTGTTCCAGCGGGGGCTGGCTAAGTTTCTGCTGTTTAGCTGACTGTGACTGAGTCAGGGCAGATCGGTAAAACAGACCTGTCTGAGGGTCTAAAGTGTCCATCTCTTCAACTTCGCCCTCCTCAGTTCCAAGTTCCTCGCTGTGTTTGGTAAAAGCAGTGTGACTGCTTAATGCCTAAGTAAAAAAAGCACAAAGTAAGAATGAAATACGAAAAACACCTACATTGCTACATTTTCCTCAAACTGGAAAAAGAGTTGTTTATGAGATTCATTCAAAAATTTTCAAAAAAGCCTAAAAAGACCAAGAAGCCTCAAAGGAGCTTTAGATATAAACTCTAATAATTAAATTCTCAGACATTAAGTACTTCAAAAACTGGTCTACTCACTACTATAGAAAAAGTCCTAGAGAGCCCAGAACTTACTTAGAGGAATAAGGTAGCCCTGCAAGCACAGTTCAACACAGAAAAAGAATAGAAAGGCTTCCTGGCTCAGGAAAAAGCTCTTCAGCCTATTTAGAAGACATTAAGCTATTTAAGGAAAGAATGCAGCAACCAAAGAGTGAGGCATCCAGAGAAAAGTCAAAGTTCAGAGAAGCCCAGTTTGGCCATGTGTATGTCTGAGAAGTGCTGTCTGAGAAGTCAAGGATACTGTCTGAGAGATGTGCCCATCTCAGTCCCCAGAGGACCTCCCTGCAGGGAGTGGAGATGGTTCTTCAGGCTTTCGCAAGGTCTGTGTGAATTACGTCTCCACCAGCCCTTCTTGCCCCATTGCTCAGATTCCAGGCCCACCAGGCAGCAGCTTCCCAGGGACGTGGATCCTGGGAGCGAAGAAGGCTGGGGAGGGAACAAGAGTGCTCCTTTCAGTGGAAAGGGAGACTGTCTAATGTTAGTAACAGGTTGGGAGGAAGAATCATCTTGAGTGACACGATAATGGCTAGCTGGTCTGACCTCTCTAGGTGTCTGGACAAAGGTCAGTGTCAGGAACTGCCAGGTGAGTGTCAACTTCCAGCCCGAGACCTGATACCCAGCAAAATCTCTGATGAGTTGGCTTCCTCTAGAGATACAACAAGATCTACCTATACTCAGGGGGAGGAGGGAATGGGTATATACACACGTAATGGGTGCGGTGCACACCTTCTGGGGGATGAACATGCTTGAAGCTCTGACTCGGGTGGGCCAAGGGCAATATACGTAACCTAAACATTTGTACCCCCGTAATATGCTGAAATAAAAGTAAAATAAAACAAAATAAAAAGATCTACCTATACCCATCCTTGGCACTGCCTTATCAGTGCTATCTGTCCATTTTAAACTTTAAAACTTTGACATTCCATTTTAACTCTCCTCCTCCATACCATAATGACTTTACACATACAGATTTTCAATTCAATATCTCTTCATTTCCTTTCAGGTAGTTTGCTTACAATTAGTTTCAACTTCTCCCATCTGAGCGATAGTGATTTATGTGACTACTAAATCTATCACTATGTTAAATATGATATCCATGACATAACTATATAACAGAGGCAGTTCACTTGGGTTTAAATTCTGGCTCTGTCACCTGGGACAAGTTACTTAACTTCTGTGAGCATGAGTTTCTTCACTTCTAAAAGAGGGCTAATATACCCACCTTGCAAGATCATACTGAGAATCAAACAAATTAATATTCTTAAAGCTGAAAACACAGTATCTGACACAAAAATCAACCTATCAATATATTTTTTCCTTTTCTCCATTACCCTTAATACCAGATGTTCCTATTTTATTTAATATTTATATTCTCAACTTCCTATCACATCTCTTCCTCTATTGGCCACATATAAGGAAATCAAATATTTATTTTCATACTTATTTATAATGTTCCCATGAGCAAAAGCAAAAAACAAAACAAAACGAACCCAGCAGCAAACAGCTAAACGTTAACCAAACGTTATTTCATTTGAAAATCTTATATACAATAAAATATAAAAGAAACAGTGACCAATTCTGATGTCACTGGATTCATCTAGACAGCCTCGCCCTTTTGAAATGGTAAACATTCACAGAAGATTAAAAAATACTGTTTCATAATTATTTTCTGGTGTTAAGACCTTTAATTCACCGTTAAATTGTATACTCTATAATTCAGTTATTTCTCGTCTTAAAATAGAAGATGAAACTGAACCTTATTTCAGGAAGGAGACAGTTATAGAAGACAGGAAGAAAAAGAAGAGATACAACCTGCTGCATAATGTGGGTGATTGCTCCAGGGGAAGATGCTGGGATGGACTTCACCACCACTGAAGTCTGTGTTGCAGTCTGTGACTGAGCCACATGCTGGAGCAGGGTCCGCTGGGGCTGGGAGGGTTGTTGGGGCTGGGAGCGATGGCTGACTGAAAATAGAGGAGGTGATGATATTTCTCCAGAAATCACCACAGCATCTGTAACCAGTAGTCATTTTAAACAAATGTCTGTGAGCTTGCATCACAGACAGAAAGTGTAGTATTGTGAACTAGGAGGCAGGAGATCAGAGTCTGCCCATCTATGAGCTGTGTGACTCTAGAAAGTCTCTTATCTTCTCTGAGACTCTGTTTTCTCATCTGTAAAATGGGAATAACAGAGCTATTATAAGGATGAGATGAGAAATGTATGAGAAAGCATTGTGAAAACTATTATCACAAAGGAGGAACTTCTTAAAGTTACATCCTCCTGTCAGGCATACTCACTTTCTCCAGTGATTTTTCTCCCATTAAAATAACAAAGCAATAATCAGTTTCTATAATCCCAGACTAATATCTTTAAGGACAGTAAGGCAATACAATTCTTTAATCTCCTGGTCCCAGTTTCATATACAATACAAATATTAGAAATATTCACTCCTTTATATGAAAATGACTGTCTCATAACCTTACAATTCCTAAAAATGAAAGAAGTCAGGATGACAATGCAGAAAATAAATTAGACCAAGAGTCATACTTGGATTCTGTCCTCCTCTGCCACCAACTAGCCAAGTGAAGTTGAAGAGATCACTTACCCACTATTAGCCTCTAAAAACTTATAAGTTTTGTTTGATTTTTTTAAATGAAATAATAAAAACTTGATGTGTCTATCTAAAAGGGGACCAAATGATGTAATGGATTAAAAAGTGGTCCTTAAATTATAAAGTACTAAACAAAATGTGAGGTTAAAAAAAGAACAGAAAAATCTGTTCTGTCATCTAAAACTTAGCTCATCTGACACAAATAGGTTAAGAGTACGGTGTAGGAAACAACCCCACTTCTTATTCTTTTGCTACAAAGGTCCCATGAAGTAACTAACACTATATATCCTACATAAGAGCCAATTTATCATCTTATACCAGCCTCAATTTCAACTTTTTAAACAGTATAAACATGTGCTACTTCCAAATCTATATAGCTTTAAAAACACTTATGGTTACTGGGAAACTGATCCTTGAAGCAGAAACAGATAAAGTCAAACAAATCTGAAAATTAGATAAGGACTGTGGGGTTATTAAAACACTCTCAATACACTTGGAACTACAATTTCAAGTAGCACTGGTTTCATGCTTAGAAAATTCATAGTGAGGTGTCCAAGATTAAGATGACCATGACAGAAATCAATGTAAAAATACCATCTATGTACTATAAGGATGAACTGTAAAACTATCCAGTGAAATATAAACTTTTATTTATTTTTTTATGACACATTCTAACTACATTCACAAATGTGGTGTTTCTATTGTTGCTATTTATATGTCTACATGTGATAGGAGATTACAGGCAGCATTACCACCATTCTTTTATAAATATGCTATAGTACCTTATTGTATTTCATAGTATGCTTTATATGTACATTTTAAATGATATGAGTTAATAAAATCTTCCACATGTGCTCAACTGAAGTGAAAACAAAGGAGTCAAAGTTTATATTAAAATACAACTATTGAAATCATTTACAATATAACTGAATAGGAGAAAAAACAAGCTATTGTAATATTAAAATTAAGCAAATTAATAGTTTAATGAAAGTATCAGAAATGAATTAAATTTGAAAATAATAAATTCATTATTTATGTTACACAAAATGTTATGTTATATAAAAGATTATATGAAATGTTTCTGTTGCCCATACTAATCTTCATAACTATATTTTTTATTAAGAAATGAAATGGATTTACTAGAAGATCAATTAAAACAATTTAAAAATAATCCTCCTTCAAGATATTATAAATTTCTTCACAGTAATTCTGCAGAATTTAGGAAAGTTAGAGAAAACTAACATCTACAACAGACAGATACAGGGGCAGGGTCAGGAAGCTGGTTTTGAAGTCAAAGAAAATGCTCAATATGGCTACAGGTATGGTGGGTGGAGATTGTGGAAGGAGGTCACAGAGTTAACATTTGGAAAATGGCTAAACTGACCTTAACTGGGCCATATAAGTGCCATAAAACAGTCATTTATTTTTTTAAATAACTCTTACTTTTCCCAGTGTCAAACTGTTCATTTCTGAGAAAGAATCCCATTATTCTGCAAAAGGAGAATCTCTCTCCCTTTCACTAAGCGGAGCTTACCTTTCCTCTACCAGATCAGAGTAGAGCGCATCCATTTAAGTGGTTTCCCCCAAACAACATCTTTTACCTTCAGTGATACTACAAATGGATGCACACCACTTACCTAGAAGGGGAAAAGCAACCTCTGTCCCCTCATCAGTGCGTTCTGAAAAGGATAAGTAAGGGAAGAAATCACAGGTCTTTTCATCTATTTACCATTTGATAATCTAATCTACCCCCAGACGTTTAATACTGAGTTCCCCAGAATACTGGCCTCTGATTTAATTAGCTTTCTGCTAAACATCTCCAAAGAAAGATTCTAGATGGCTTTCTGTATCTTAACTGGGTTTTCCCTTCTGGCTATTTTAACCCATTAGTTCTAATAATATCTCCTAAAGTGATGCCTCCAAATTTCTTTTCCTTTGTGGTATTTACATCCTTCAAATATTTGTAAGTTTATGTTCTCTTTTAATCACTGTTTAAGAAAACTTAAGATAGGAGTTCTCTACTTATGATATTGCCTCATAAGTCATCTTTCCTAACTCCTTAATTATTCACATTACTACTCTCTGAACTATTTCAGATCACAAGTTAATGAAGTGTTCAAAACAGAAAGCAGTGTTCCAGGTGTGGTCTCACCAGAATATGAAAGAAAGAATCTATTATCCTTCCTGTTTTACTTCATATATGCCATCCAAAAATCTCATTAGGACTGCCAGACCACATTTTAAACAAATACCCAATCTGTTTTCCACCAGAACTCCTGAGTATTTACAGAGATTTAAGGTTTTTCACATTTTTTATATTAAAATAAAAGAGTTGGAATTCATACCTTCTTTCCCCTTTGACCTATCTCCCCCAAAACTAAAAAGTCCAGATGCATAAAAATACTTGTTCTTAGATAAAAGACATTTATCCTCCCCTTACAACCGTTGCCCTATATTCACAGATGTTATTTACAGCCAACTTGCAGTTTTACATTACTTGCAAACTTTGTTACATTTTATTTTTTTCCCTAGTCATAAAGATGGGGTAAATCCCAAGGATGATGTAAATTGCCTCTGAAAACAAACAGGAAAAGAGCTAAAAATATAACGAATATATTCTTCCCCAAACAACCGTCCCATGAAATCCAGAAAGGTAGCTCTCCTACCTTAATACTACGCTTTAATAGGACACCTACCAGTAGTGATGTATTCAGCAACTAGTTCTGACTCTACCACAGCAATTGATGGACTCTCAGGAGAATGTCTCTTTTCCTGGGTCATCTGAATAGGCACTGCCATTTGACTCAAGTCAATAGTGGGTTGTCTTGGTTTAGATTCCAATTTTTCCTTTACTGCGTAAAAAAGTCAGGGGAAAAGTTAACTTTTATTACAAACAAGTACCAAAACCAGAGTTGTCCATGGGAGTAATGAACCAGACCTCTGGGGCGCCACACTGGCAGTGACAAAGTAGACAGTGAATCAAAAAGAAAAAGGCAGACTGTTATGTATGGCTGTATAGGTACAACTTACATAACCATACTCAGCAGCCTAGCAAGGACTCATGTAATCACACTAAAATCCTTCCCCTATTATCTCTAGGCCAAACAAATGGGTGTTTCTCTTATACACACTCCTTTTAGGGTATTTCCTTTACCCTTCTTCAAGGTGGTAGTCTTGAGTTCACCAACCTAAAAACAAAGGGTGAATAAGCAATACACCACAAGAGTTGTTCTAGGGCATATCTCCTCTGAATAGCACAACACAGTGACCAGTTTAATTGGAGCTACTAAAAATTCAAGATAATCTCCAAAGAAGTATTACAATGTCTTCAATGACTCTTAAGAATAAAAATTTTCATTGTTAGGGAAAAATGGCTTCTGTTTCTGTAAAAATATCTGATATAAAAGCCCGGAATCAAGAATGGTTTCAATGAATAGATTCACTTTCTAACTTATTATAAATACAAAAATCTATTCATTCAAAATCCCCACCTCTATAAGGCATTAATGGAAATGGCTGAGCACATCAAACTCAAGGAACTAAGGAAATTCCTAAGGCCAAAAATAACACCAATAGGACTAACCAAAGACTTACATTAAATGCTAGTAATCTTGAGTAATACAGAGTAGAAGTTATAATAAACAGTAACCAGTAACTAAGTCCACTGAATGATCATTCCCACCACGAACATAATGTGACAAAATAAAAACAATCATTTAAACAAAGAAAGTAAAACAAAAATATGAATATAAAAGTCACCCCACAAGTAGAGAGGACATTAAACTGGGAGCCAAAAGATGTGACTCACTCACTCTGCCACTAACCAACTAGATAACCTCTCTTGATCTCAGTTTACTTATCCATAAAATGAAAGGGTTGGATGAGATCACTGCTAAGGTCACTTACTCTAACAATCTTTGACTTATTATAATAGAAAAGTCAGTATAACTTCCACAGGTTTGTTCTAGAGTTCACCAAAGATAATTAGTAACTAGAAATACTGATAAGATCTTATTACAGGAGGACAGCTTTGCATGGAAGCTCAAGTGGTTAACCTATGCTATACAAAGAAATAAATTGAAGATAAAGTTAAAATAAATCAAAATGTTAGCAAGGGCCATTAATAGTGTTTTATGACCACAAAACTGCTCCATCAGTATCAAGGAAGATGGCAGGGGCCCTTCAATCTGCCTCTTGCTATTCATGAATACATAACTGGCAATTATACTGCATCTATCCTTGTGCTTAGAAATGATATCCTCTTTTTTTTTTTCGAGATAGGGTCTCACTCTGTCACCCAGGCTGGAGTACAGTAGGACAATCATAGCTCACTTCAGCCTCTAACTGCTGGGCTCAAATGATCCTCTCGTCTACTCAGCCTCCTGAGTATCTGGGACTACAGGCACATACTACCATGCCTAGCTAATTCTTCAAATATTTTTAGAGATCTCTTATTTTTAGAGATTTATTTTATTTTGTTGTTTTTATAAGAGATTTCTTATTTTTGGGGGGTCTCACTATTTGCCCAGGCTGGTCTTGAACTCCTGGCTTAAAGTGATCCTGCCGCCTCAGGCTCCCAAAGTGCTAGGATTACAGGCAGGAACCACCGTGTCTGTCCAGACACATGTCTACTCCTTTCTGGTGGCTAGAAACAATAGGACTGTCCATTTTAAGCAGGAGACAGAAAGAAGACAGAGCTCTGTCATATTTTTTCTTCTTTCTACAGATAGTCCATTTGTGCTTTAGCACTTCTGTGCATATATTAATGAACTAACAAGTAAACAGACTGTACCAATGATTACAGACAAGTCCAGAGGGGGGAAATGTGCTCAGATAATAGCAAAAAAATATATAACAGTAGTAGTCTTTTAGCACAACCCGTCTCTAGAGAAAACATGCTTCATTCAATTGAGCATGTGAATTCATACCTGTTGTCTGTTGGAGTTCTAATAGAGCTTTGATTGTTGAAGTGGCTGATTGTGATTCACTGGATACATCCTGATAAATTATGGTGGGGCTAGTCTCCATTGCAATCTCATGTTCTGACCAATCCTGACGCCGGGAAGCAATTACATGAACTACAGGCTGGGAATCTGTTTTATATTAGTTAAAAAAAAACAAACCCTATAAACAAAGTTTCTTTAAAAAAAAAACAACTTGTTTTTTTTGTTTGTTTGTTTTATCTTTGTATTTATTGTAAACTTCATGCTTTATCTCCCCAAGAAGACTGTAGGCTCTCAGAGGGCATGTCATTCACTTCAGAATTCACTTATTCATTCATTCATTCATTCATTCATGAATTCTACAAACTGAACACCTATGTGTCAGAATCTATATTTAGTATCGATGATATAAAGGAGCTCACAGAATAATCAGAGGATGCTCAAGAAGCATAAAGTCTGGTTGAGGAGACGGACATGTAAAAAGACAAATTACAATTCAGTATGATAACTGCTATATAAATAGATGTGCATTTGTGTAGGCACGTGCATGTTTGTGTATGGTAAGAACAAAATGCTGCAGGAGTCTTATTTTCCCCAATGCACCTGAAATGTGTTCTGTATAGCATTCAGTCAACATATATTGGATGGCTGAATTACTAAAAAGAAATCCTGTCCACTGCCAGCAAGACAGATAACCTAGAAGCAACATGATATAATAGGACAAGTGTAACTTCTGGAGTTCAAAGTCTTAGGTTTAGGTAGTTATAGCCCTACTATCAATTATTAGTAAGTTGAGTCTTTGGGTCTTAATTTCACTGTTTCTAAAATAGGAACAATAAAATTACCTCTCTACCTTAGGATTTCTGAAGATACAATGTAAATTAGCTTTATAAACTATGAAGGATAATAGAAATGCTATTATTGTTATTGTGGCCTGGAAGTTCTCAATTCTAAGACTCTTTGTTAGTTTCAAAATAAATTACAGTCCTAATTCAAGGCTTGTTATATTCATGCTATATAGGTATACATATAAATACTAAATGTGCATCAAATCAAGCAACAAATTATTTATTGAGTTTTCTACCTATAAAATAAGCAGCTTGGACTAAAACTATCACTAACTTCCTAAACTTCTTTGTCCAAGACATTGCAGAAGAAATTGTGGAGAATATAAAGGCATGATTCTTACTCCAAAATTTAGATTATAATGGGTGAAACATAAAATAAAGATATATGACTTTGTATCTTAGAGTAAATATCAAATTAGGACAAACCAGACCAATCTATAGAAAGTAAGAGACTGCTTTGAATTGGACAGTCAGTGAAAGCATCACAGAAGAATGAAAAAATTTAAGTAGCTCCCAAAACAAGAATAATTACAACAAAAGTTCAACACTCTATGAACTTTATATTTTTGAAAGCCACAAAGCTGTCCAAAAACAGTGGGGGGCAAGGGAAACAACTCTTCAAACAAAACAGCCTTTCTGAAAAAAACAAAATCAATATATAACAGATCTAAAAGTTTTGATTACCATTAACAAAACTGTATTCCTCACTCTTGCCCCAAAACACTGGGTGGAATATACACCACACCAGGGTTGTATAATTTCCATTAAACTTCCAAAATATTACAGAAGACTGAAAGACACTATCCTGTAATACCAAATGTCATGTGAAGTGTGTAACAGCCTTTCCTTACTCATTATAAGTAGATATGTAGTAATTAAGAGAACTATAATATTAGGAAATCATTTCTTTTATATAACTTAAACTCTCAAACTTAAATTATCATGATGATATAGGCAAAGAATGACTTTGTAACCCAACTCTATGAAACACACTGAAAATTCAGAAGAAGGCAGGGATTGTGTTTGCAGAGATAAGGTAGAAAGAGGTAGGAGAAGGGAAATAAGTTTTACCTATCAGAGACCATCATCCCAAACACCACCCCATGGGGACTAGGGAGATTGCTCTTTCTTTGTCTGTCTATACTCAGAAAGAACAACTGACCATCATAAATTATCACTGCAGTAACCCCAACAACTGTGACACAAGATGAGGGTGTGAACCTAGGTGAAAACCATTCCTGGAATGATTCTCCTCTCTAGTTCTGGCTATGCTCTGATAAATCTACTGTCTATCAAGTTTGACGCTAGGGTCAAAGAGTGCAATGACTAGGACCACCAGGAGCCTGATCTCACCAGTACCATCTGCTTATGCAGAGTACATCCATCTAGACTTCCCTACCTCTTTTGAGGATGGCAGCCTGATATCTTTCCCCACAGGTCATTTAACAAATATTTATTGGATATCTACTACATGTGAGATACTAGAGACACACACTTTCATATTATATCCAAAGGCAGACTCAGGCATCTCTGTTGAAGAATATCTCCTATGTCTTTATTATAAATGGCCTATATTACACTTCTATAGATTCTTAAGACTTATCAGTTAGAAGGAACCTTAAGGTTTGTTAAATGCTATCATCAATCCTATATTAACATCTTTACAACAACATCTCCACTGGTCTGGGAACTGGAACTCCAGCACCAGAGAATTCACTGGGTTCTAAGGCAGTTCCCTCAGACCTCTGCACCATTATGACAATTAGGAAGTTTTCTTATATTGAGTAGAAACAGATCTTGCTGTGACTTCTACCCAAAGGTTCTAGTGGCTGTCCATGTATCCACAAAGATCAATTCTTTTCCCTCTTCTACAACATAGTCCTTGATATACTGACATCTGCAGCTCCTATGTCCCCCCAACCCAACTCAGCCCCATCTGCTCTTCTCCAAGATAAATATCCTGTCTTCGCCAACCACTCCTCATACAAAATGATTCCCAGATACCCTACCCACCTAAACCATCTCTCTTTTTTTTTTTTTTGAGACAGTCTCATTTTGTTGCCCAGGCTATAGTGAGTGCTGTGGCGTGAGCCTAGCTCACAGCAACCTCAAACTCTTGGGCTCAAGCAATCCTACTGCCTCAGCCTCCCAAGTAGCTGGGACTACAGGCATACGCCACCATGCCCGGCTAATTTTTTCTATATATATTAGTTGGCCAATTAATTTCTTTCTATTTATAGTAGAGACGGGGTCTCACTCTTGCTCAGGCTGGTTTTGAACTCCTGACCTCGAGCAATCCGCCCGCCTCGGCCTCCTAGAGTGCTGGGATTACAGGTGTGAGCCACCGCGCCTGGCCCTAAACTATCTCTTCTAAAGTAACCTAAGACATCTATATCCCTTCTATGATGTAATATGTACCTTCTCTCTGAAGCACAGTCATAAAGCTCAAGTCCTTTACAGTGTTTAATTGCCTAGACAGCATAGCCCAAGATGTTCTAGAAAAGATTAGTTCCTCAGATGTTCTTAAAAAAAAGAAGGGTTCCATGGTCAAAAACGTTGGGCAACAATTACATTTTATATTCCACTCTTCATCTTTTACAATATAGATTAGCACCTAATGGCTCTGAAAGTTCTGCAATAAGTATGTTTTGCTAAACTTGAATTTAATGCCCATTCTCACCTGAACTACTGAGATCATGAAGCTTCAGGAAAAATCATCCTAGAAACTGAGTCGTGACCTTTGCAAAGCAATATCTTTACAAGATACATTTTTGCATTTGCCTCATGCCTTATTACATTTGTAAATCCTTACTCTTGGATTTGTCAACTTGTTCTCTTCCACTTTACTTAATATATATAATCTTAATTTAATCCACTTTAAAATCTTGTAGAAATAAAGCAAAATATAAATAAAGAGATTTTTAGTATTTATTTTTTAAAAATCAGGAACCCAATAAGGCTAACCCATTCCCAAGTGAAAAATGGAAAAAAGGAAGACCTATTTAGGATGGAAAGCACAGGAGCAATGGAAGATATATGGCCCAATCATTATTAAGTGACCTAGGCAAGTATGACCTTGATATCAGGCTTGGTCACCTAGCTACCTATCAATATCTAAGCAATAGTCTAGATATAGCACTTGAAAGGCCCACCTACAAGGTTGAGGGGAACCCCAGAAAGGAAACAACATTTTGTACTCAGGCAACAAAAATGTGTCAATTAGGCTAAAGCTTAACCCTATGCCACAGTTATTATGGCTGCTGTTCAGCTGTTTGTTCACTCAGTGAAACTTTTACTGAGTACCTACCTTCATTGCTAACTAACCTCTTTGCTAAATACTGGATATATAAAGATGAATATGATCTCTGCCCTTGAGAACTAGTAGTCTAGTGGAGATGAAAATAATTATAATAAGCAAATAAAAAGTATAAAATAAAATGGCTGATGTTAAAATAGCTGATAATACAAGGCAATATTGGAAGTATAATGTAAAAGGAATGATGAATTCTCCAAGGGTGATCAAGGAAAGTCTCAGAATAGGGTGATGATGAAAGCCTCTATTCTAGCCTATGAGAAGACAGATGAGGAAGAAAACATGGGGCCTAAACTTCTCCTCCTTGGGAAGTTTAGAAACCACAAGTGGAATCAAGATGTTCTCTAAGTAACGATACAAGGAGATGGGGTAGGGCAAACAGATGATAAAAACTGGCTTTATAGTCAACTAAGTCTATTCTGAATTATGAAATTTTCTGTGTTACAGAATATTTAAATAGAAGTAATACACAACGAAAGATATACAATAAAAAAAAATTGATGAAGCAAACTTTTGTTCCATTCTTAGAATGAAAATTGAAGATTCAACTAATGAAATGCCATGTTTGGGAAGTACTGACTGGCTTACAGTTCCCTTAGGAAAAAACTACCGATTTCAAAGGACAACCTGAGTTTATGTACATAGACTTCTACTGTTCATGTCCCCTTTCCAGTAACAATTCATAAGCTAAACACTTTACCTGTCCTCCATGAAAATATTTCTTGAGGGTAAAAAAAAAAGCCAGCATTACTCAAGGACTCAAGGAACGATAGGCTTAATAAAAGAAGGAAAAGCAGCTAATCAGTTGACCTATGAATGGAATCTGTTAATATCTTATCAGTAAGTCCAAAAGAAATGAGTGGAAAATAAGCATCACTCAAGTGTAACTACCACATAAACTGATTCATAATCATTATAGAATAATAAAGTGAATCTTTGCAAACGGATTCGGAAAATATTACTATCATTGATAATATGCTGAAGGAAACCATCCATTTTCTAAAATGAGTACCATATTGTTTATTAAAAATCAATATTTCCATTTATTTTTAATTGATGAGTTTTCAAAGAACATTTCAAATGCTATCTCCCATTCATGAAGCTTTCTCATCTTCTCCTCACAAGAGTGTGAACTTTCAGCCTTTGGCAATTTTTTGTTTGCTTCTAATCAAATTCTTATACTGGAGTGTATGTGTATTTTTTTTTTTAATTTCCTAGTCTAGATTTTAAGCTCCTGGAGGGCAAGAACTATATTTTACTCTACCTCTATAGGGTATAGCACAATGCTCAGTATGTAGTATAAACTGATAAATCATTGTCAAATTGAATTAATGGACTAATCAGCAATATGAATGAAGAAAAAATAATCTGGAAAGAGTCCACCAAGGAGTTAAAGTGTTTGCACAAAATGAAGACTGTGTATTAGAAAAGTGAAAGTGTTTAAGAGAGCATTCCAGCAAGAATAACGGGGAGACAGGGAGGGGGGATGGAGACAGTGAGGAAAGAACAAGGGAAGATAAACAGCTGTGGTTAATACATCAGAGTGCATAAGTATACACATAAACATACCACCTGACAATATAGACAGTTAAGATAACTGAGAGATGGGAGTACCAGATTAGTACATCTCAAAGCTAATGATTATGAGTTTATTTCAAGAGACTCCCGAGAAGAAAATTAAGAAAAATAATAAAATGAAAACACCACTAAGACAAAGAACTTCCCTGTTATAAAATCTAGTTTCATAGTTCCTTCCTTATAATTAGGACAACCATACAATTATCATCTGTAATACTTCTGACAGTGAAAGGGAACACTATTATTATTATTCCAGACCAACAGACATAAACTATGACTGTCCCATGCAAACTAGAATGTACAGTCCCCCTACTTACAACTCACTTAATAGTCTATCTCTGGCCATGTTGATTCTTTCTCAAGGTTCATCAACAACCATTTCAAAAGGTATATTCACTTTCTTACATTATTCTTTCCCTACTTACCCAAAGCAAATAGGAAGAATATGAAAATTATCCTCTGGGAATCATGGCTCTATCCAGTTTAACATTACCTACCTGACAAAATCATCATCTAAAGTTTACCAATTATTTGATGAACATATGTCATGCAGGAAAGAATAGTAAGCTTTACCAAAAATAAAATTTCAGCTCAGTGATTAAACATTAAACAAAACAAAATAAAACTAAAAGAACTCACAAATCAAAGCATACAAGTTTGTTGTGAAATCCCTAGAAGCAACTTCTATATTAGAACTAGGGCACTGTATCAGCAGTACTTACATAAATAGATCTTACCTTGAGAACTCTGGGAGGACTCTGTAGAAGAGGAACTACTATCTGTATAACTTTGTGGTTCTTCTTTTCCTTCCTGAATAGATGAATTACCAGCCTCTGCTACCCTGGATGCTTGTTGTAACGTTTCTGTTACTAGCTGTCTTGTTTGTTCACTAACAACTGTGGCTTGAAATGTCACTGGTTTGGGTTTAATAAGAACCTAGAAGAAAAGCAAAAATATATCCAGGTGAAATTTTAGAGCACGATTTAAAATGCTAAACTTCTAGGTCACAAAATATTTTTGGGGATGGAAAGCAGTATTCTGTATATTTATTATGCTTTGGGCACCGTATTATTCATCAAAGACTAATTCAATCTATAGACAAATTACAGTTAAGCCACAAATTTTAAGTGGTACATGCCAGACTGCAACAGCCATAATTCTGACGATAGCCTTTGTGCTTGTTTTTGCTGGCCTATAATAACTTCAGAAGTCATTTTACAGCCTGTTAACTGTATAGAATGATAGCCAAAAGCTGAGGATGACAGAACAAAAAGACACAAGAGCCTAGATACTCAATGGAATTTCTGAGCTGAAATTATCAGTCCAGAACTTTCTTTCCTCTGACCTTTTATTAATACAATAAAAATAAAGCCCTAATCTGTTTAAGCCAGTGTTCTTCAAGTTCCTTTTCATTAGGAACTAAATGAAATTCTTAACTGACACACTTGCATAAAGTAAACTTGCTTGGAACCTAAGTAATCTTTGAAGAAACCCCCAGAGGAACACTGATTTAGACCTGTGGTCCCCAATCCCCAGGGCCATGGCCCATTACTGGTCTCTGTCCTGTTAGAAACTGGGCCGCACAGCAGGAGGCGAGCAGCAGGCAAGTGAAGCTTCATCTGTATTTACAGCTGCTCCCCATCACTCGCATCACCACATGTGCTCCAACTCCTGTCAGATCAGTCACTGACTTCCATCACCCCCAGATGGAACCATCTAGTTGTAGGAAAATAAGCTCAGGGCTCCCACTGATTCTGCATTATGGTGAGTTGTATAATTATTTCATTATATATTACAATGTAATAATGATAGAAATAAAGTGCACAATAAATGTAATACACTTGAATCATCCCAAACCCCACCCCCACCCCCCCACCCCCGGTCTGTGGAAAAATTGTCTTCCATGAAACCAGTCCCTGGTGCCAAAAAGGTTGTGGACCACTGATTTACACAACTATAGGAAGGGACATGGAATATGTGGTGGATCGACTACTTTTGTGAAAGTCAAAATCACAAACACTGAAACAAGTGAAATGGGAGAAAATTTTCAAACTGGACCTTTCCACTTAAAAATCTAAACTCTAGGAGTTAACTTCAATTGAATAAAAATGTTAACTCATCACAATTATTTTTATTTGTATATACATATATATATATATATGTATATATACATATATGATTCTAAACTTTTCTGGACTCTACTGAATCACCCATTTCCAAGAGTTCAAGAATCAAAAAATGATTACACCAGCTTAGATGATGGAGCAAATGAATTTGTTACAGTTGAACTCAATAGGCAATTTGAACTTGTCACAAAACTTATGTTTTAGATATGTAAACTATTTGGCTACAATTCTGAAGGAACAGATTCTGAAAGCAAATTATTAGTTTATAGGTAAATTAACACCTTTTATAAAACTTCTAGGATAGTATTTGTCAACTAAAGCTGATACTGCTTCCTTTGACATTCTCAGGAAACCAGTTAAAGCAGCTACAAGATAATTACTAGCCTAGCAATATATGATTAATTACCAAGCCTCATATTCCTAGGCAAATATTCAGAAAAGTTCCCTTACCTTCTATTGGTTGAAAAATGAACACATTTCTAGCTTCTCCATTATGTAGGGTTCAAGTAAGGTAAATTTTATAAGCAAATAAAATGCTTTTGAAGGCTATGTTAGCTTATGAAAAGTAAATATTTTTGAGAGATTATGAATAACTACTATCCTCCCTCAATTAACCATCCCTCAAATAACAATATGTATCTTCAAAAAATTTTATTCTAAAGGGATTCTTTCCCACAATCCTTGCTCATAGAATGACACAAATATTTGGACATTTTAAAAAAGTACTGTCAAAACACAAGTTTTTTTTTTTTGTCTTTTTTTTGTTTGAGACAGAGTCTCACTTTGTTGCCCAGGCTAGAGTGAGTGCCGTGGCGTCAGCCTGGCTCACAGCAACCTCAATCTCCGGGGCTCAGCGATCCTTCTGCCTCAGCCTCCCGAGTAGCTGGGACTACAGGCATGCACCACCATGCCCGGCTAATTTTTTTTTATATATATTTTTAGTTGTCATAATTTCTTTTTTTTGGTAGAGACGAGTCTCGCTCAGGCTGTTTCCAACTCCTGACCTTGAGCAATCCGCCGCCTCGGCCTCCCAAAGTGCTAGGATTACAGGCGTGAGCCACCGCGCCCGGCCAAAACACAATTTTGACAATAGAAGAGTAATTATACACATTCAGTTATAACTTTTAATATTCTGATTTTTTTAAAGAATGTTGATCTTTCCCTTCAAATTTCTACCTGGAAATTTTAGGAATTTAAAATATATAAGAGCCCAGAAAAATCACCATATCTTATAGCATACCTGTGTTTTACCTTGCTGCCCATAAACAATTTTTGTTGGGATGATTTTAGCTGCTGGTTGAACTGTGGAACCTATTGCTTTTGGCTGAGTTACAATCATTTTGGTGATGGGTCTTGTAGCAGTGATGATAGCTGGCTTTGCTCCCGTTGGCACCGTCTGAATAGTCTTTTCTCCCTAAATTGAAGTCAATGATTATATAAGAGATTTGTATGCATTTAAATGATAAAAATTGTCCTCACTGAAAAATCAGAGAAAGGTTTTACCAGGATGATAGGAAAAGAACTGGAGATTATATAACAAAGTATGATGTATCTTAGTGATCAAAAATCTTACTCTTAGTTGAAATTATCTTAATAAAAGTCATCTGACCAATCCTATCTAAAGAAGGAATTATTTCCCGATGAGTGACTTTTTAAAAATTACCTCATGTAAGAATATTTATTATACTGTCACATTCATGGAATACATATATTAAAATAGGGTCAGAAAACTCCAGAAGAATATACAGTAATCTGTTAAAAATGTTTATCTCTAACAGTTGGGATTATAGGTCTCACCTTCCACATTTATCTTTATTTTCTAATTTATCTTAAATGAATATTTATGTAATTAAAAAATTACTATGCAATATACCAGTAGCTAAATAAACACACACAAACTCCCTTAGTCCCACCTATTATAAGGATATATATAGCAGAATGTCTATGTGAAAAAGTATGGGCAAGAGTTAAAATCAGCACAGATTTTAATATCCTTTTTAAGGTTATATGGAAAAAAAGGAAGTAAAAACTTGGGCTGCTCCCCATGTTTTACTATTAGTACATTACTAATATCACTTTAGTCTATCAACTAGATAGCTTAAGCCCATTAACTCTTCACCATTTTCTGCACTTTCACCACTTTATTCATCAGTATCATTTTCTGGTCATTCATGGACTTGATATCTTTTCACTTGAACTTAACAAAATTAAATTCAAATACAGTGATTTTACTAAATTATGAAAATTTTAAAAATTAAAATGGAAACGAAAGGATCTGAGAATTTTTACTTCATCAGTTTTTCTTAATTTTTAGCTATCATCATCTAAAGGTGTGGCCATCTAAACTTAGCAGCCAGTAATAACAAAGCACCCAGGTGAGCTGGCTAAAAAGTAATCACTGTGAATTTAGAGCTAAATATGATTATAAAAATAGTAAGTTTAACTATCTGCTATAATTATCTAGGGAAACTTGAAGTGCCAGCCAATCGTGTTATTACTGACTTTGACACACATACACTGTTCACAGCAGCATCTCTGGAAGGAGCTCTAGTTTGTTTGCCAAGAGCCACTAGTTTGTTTGCAAGTAAGCATGCCTATTTATTAAATAGCTTGATGGGCCCTGCCCAAGTATGATGACCCATTCAAAGAGGCCAAACAAAACCACCAGCAGGCTGTGTTTTGAAAAAGCTCTTTTGATGTGTGTTATGGGCATGCACAGGTGAATAAGTGGTAAATACAATTGCACATGCCTGTGTGGTGAAGAAGATGTCTTACATGCTGATCTGCTTGTTTTACTAGCATTGCCTGTATCAAATTGTTGCTATCAGATATACCTAGCAGCTATGATTTACATGTGACTCTTAGATCTTTCTGACCATAAGGGTCTAGAATACAGGGCATCCCCTCTTATACATCAAGTTATATGAAATTGCAAACCACATTATAAAGAGTTCTGAAAATCTTAATTCTAATCGTGGCTTTTCTGTTGGCTTACTATGTAAATTTAGGCTAAGAATAATCTATTTTTCCAAAATGTTGAAAAAATCTAATGCAGGATTCCTATCAACATTATAAAGACAGTGATGCATAAGAAGCTTTTATGAGATCTACTTAAATGAAGTATAGCATTCCATTTCCTTTCCTTCCCCTTCCCCTTCCCCTTCCCCTTCCCTTTCCTTTCCTTTCCTTTCCTTTCCTTTCCTTTCCTTTCCTTTCCTTTCCTTTCCTTTTCTTTTCTTTTCTTTTCAGACAAGGTCTCACTCTGTTGCTGGGCTAGAGTACAGCGGCTTAATCATAGCTCACTGCAACCTCAAACTCCTGGGCTCAAGCAATCCCCTTGCCTCAGCCACCTGAGTAGCTGGGACTATAGGTATGCACCACATCTGGTTAATTTTTCCATTTTTTGTAGAGATGGGGTCTTGCTATGCTGCCCAGGCTGGTCTTTAACTCCTGGCCTCAAGTGATCATCTCACCTTGGCCTCCCAAAGTGCTAGGATTACCTGTGTGAGCCACTGTGCCTGGCCTGTAATCTATTTAAATGAAATATAGCATTCCATTTCAAGTGGTGTCAGGCAAGCCTAAATAGTTAAGTACCAAGAATAATAACAACAGGAAGAAAATCAATGGTTGAGGACTTCCTATGTACCAGGTATTGTTCTAAGCATTTTCAAAGTTCTAAGCATTTTAAAACAGCCACCAGTTACTGAATAACCTAATAAATATCATCATCTCCATTGTACAAATGAGAAAAATTAAGAATAAGAGAAGTTGAGTAAGTCATTCAAGGTCAAACAACTACAATACTGAAAGCTGAAGCCCAGGTTTCAACCTCTTAACAATTGCCTTTGGAAGTATAGATGAATCCATTATTTATTTGATTATTTTTTTTTTTTACTAGCTCAAAGAGGTAAAAATGAAAAAAATATAAAAGTAACAAATCTCCATCAATTATGTAGTCTTAATCCAAAATATTCCTCTTTGCCCAGCCTAGGCCAAACACTAGGCCAACATCTATTTACCATAAGCAGGAATAAAAAAACTCTGCTCCAATAGAAGTCCTCCTACAAATTTAGCAAGTGGAATTCTCTATCTGGACCAAGCTAGGCACTAAATCATGGTCATAAGCAACCTAGCTATGAGCAAGTATGAGTATCATATTTTAGAAATTAGTGTGAAAAATGGCATCAGTTGGTGGTGCTTTAACAGTTATTATATCACAGTAGTGGTAAATCAAGCCATTAGGGCCATTGTGGGGTTTTGAAGTCCTTATGCAAATATTTGTATAGCTGGTCTTTAAAATCCTCAGTGGATTGCTGAGTCTGCAGTTCAAGCTCTTACTTACTCCAGCATTTAGCAATGTTGTGACAACGTTTTTGCCCGGGAGGCCTTGAATGGTCGTTCCTTTTCCTGTAGTCTTTTGCACAACAATCACATTGGGCTTGGAAGTCATTGGGATTGTAGTAATTTTGGTAGTCGTTCCTTAGAGAAGGGGGAAGAAAAGGAGGCCTGAGTTAAGGACTAGTGATATTTGGTTATTTCTATTTAGATTATACACAATTAATACATGTAGTCAATGTCATCCCTAGATGATGTGAAACTGTCATGAGGAAAAAAATGAAGGCTTGAAATAGTAAGTAAGTCATCCCAGCATGAGAGAATATTAAGAATTGACTTTTAAAGCAGTCATCTTTTTAGAATCTGAGGAGCTATATACCAAACTCAGAATCTAAAAATATCGGAAAGAAATAAGCCATGTATTTTTGTGTGAATAAAAAAGACAAAGTAAACATTGATACACAGACCAAGTCACAGACTCACTGTGTGTTTCTATAATCTGCAGCACTCTGGAGAGTATAGGGGTAAAACTCATTTATATTTTCAAGCATTAAGATCTATCTAATGAGGCATTCTTAGATCTATATCTACTGATCCAGACATAACATAATATTACCTTGTTCTCTCCCTTACATCCTTCCACAATCTGCTTCTCCTCTACCTATCAAATCTATCACCCTATAAGATTTATGCTCCATATTCTCCTAATTGTAGAGGTTGGAAATCCTGGTGCAAATCTTTAATTCATTCCTGTCTTAACTCCCTGTGGTCCCCAACAAAATGAAAGCCCCTTAAGTTCCACACTGTATCTTTGTCATGTCAATGATTCCTTGGTGCTTAGCTCAGTGGATGGCAATTATTCAATAACAGTTGTTCAAGTTTTTCAATGGGTATGTGAATGAACTCAATTTGTCACCAACATACATCCTCTTTTAAAATGTTATCAATGACCCAACTCAAAAGCCTCATTTCCTTTCCCACACTGTATCCCTATTTCAAGTTTCTCCATCATATAAATAGTCCTGGTGCTCTCTGTCATATCAAATATCCTAAAATAAACTAACTCTCCTAAGCCAACAACTTGGAAAATACCAAATGGGTTTAAAACCTCCCTAAATCCCTGTATGCCTAGCTTCAGCTTCCCCTCTACTGTTTCAAAATCCTACAAAATCCGGCCCTTAATCTAACAATTCAATCTAATTAGTTTCTACTCCACAATATATACACCATAAACTCTAGTCTAACAAAGAACTTCATTATGGCTTCCCATTATCTACCATACAAAGCCCAAACTCCTCTGTCTAGGTTTCCAGGTTTTGTCAGACTCTAATTTTTAGGATTATCCAATATACACCTCTTCTTCAGTATGTTGGTTTCCATATTGGTCTTGAGTATACCAGTCCCAATGCTACCTTTGTCCTATAATTTCCTGTGCTTATGAAAAAGACATGCCATATTCTTCTTCTACAGGCTTGTATATCATTTATCAATGACTAAACACAGAAGAGGTACTCAATAAAAACATGACTAATATATTCTCAAAAAGAAAAATTAAGCAAAATTGTATTATTTTCCACTGGATAACCTTAACAATCCTTACTAGAGTTTTAGAAATAAAACTATACTAAGAATAAGAAAATTCTGTTATATGTTAATTTGGGCAATATTATTATAAAAATATCTTTATAATGTATACTTGCTGTTATCCAATGTCTCATCATCCAAGGTAACATACTCAGAAGTTACATTAAAAAGCACTTTTGGCCGGGGCGTGGTGGCTCACGCCTGTAATCCTAGCACTTTGGGAGGCCGAGGCGGGCGGATTGCTCAAGGTCAGGAGTTCGAAACCAGCCTGAGCGAGACCCATCTCTACCAAAATAGAAATAAATTAATTGACCAACTAAAAATATATATCAAAAAATTAGCCGGGCATGGTGGCACATGCCTGTAGTCCCAGCTACTCGGGAGGCTGAGGCAGAAGGATCGCTGAGCCCAGAGACTGAGGTTGCTGTGAGCCAGGCTGACGCCACGGCACTCACTCTAGCCTGGGCAACAAAGTGAGACTCTGTCTCAAAAAAAAAAAAAAAAAAAAGCACTTTTATCTATGAACTAGCTTTACAACTATTTTCCCCTTTATCTGTAGCCTCTGAATAGTGGGCTTTAAGAACCATAATAACCAAGCTGCCCATTATTCACTTATACCAACTATAATTCTTTTTTTTTTTTTGAGACAGAGTCTCACTGTGTTGCCTAGGCTAGAGTGCTGTGGCGTCAGCCTAGCTCACAGCAACCTCGAACTCCTGGGCTCAAGCAATCCTTCTGCCTCAGCCTCCCAAGTAGCTGGGACTATAGGCATGAGCCACCATGTCCAGCTAATTTTTTCTATATATATTTTTAGTTGGCCAATTAATTTCTTTCTATTTTTAGTAGAGCTGGCGTCTCGCTCTTGCTCAGGCTGGTTTTGAACTCCTGACCTTGAGTGATCCTTCCACCTTGGCCTCCCAGAGTGCTAGGATTACAGGCATGAGCCATTGTACCCAGCCTATAATTCTTAATTAACTCCAATCCTTTATATGTGATTGACTGTGTAGAGATCTTTTGACACTGTAGCCTCATCAAATATTTGATAATAAAAAGTGGTTTTAGAAAGTAAGCATTAAAAACTACCTCAATGAAATGTAAACCATGCTTTCAACTCTATACCAAAGTACAAAGACCACTTTTTGACAAAACTTGCTTAACAAGTGAATTGTATTTATATCAACTAAACTATCTAACCCCTTCCACAATGGTTTGTAAATTTATAAGATAGCTGCAAAACAAGTCTATAAGCTTAAGAAAATGGAGAATAGGAGAATGTTAGAAAATAGAAGAAAAAGGAATAACACAAGGAAAAGCAAGTCTAACATTATATCAAAATAAAATACAATTTATGACTAGAATTATCAATTATGAATGCCTGAAATTACAGTGAGCATGTTTCTGTATTTCAGGGGATACCTATGTTATTTTGAAGACAGAAGTATTACTCATTACAGAAAAAAGTCATCTTCTATGCTTTCATAGTAGTTGGTCTATAATTCTCATGTTACAACAGAATTATACAAGTTCATTTGTTTAGCATTCTTCAGGACAGAGAATAAAACTCATGTACAGCCCTACATATCACAGCACATACCACGGTACCTAGCTCATAGCAAATCAAAGAATTCACCTATATATATAGTCTTTACTTATAAAAGTCAAGACACAATGGGTACAAATAACTATGAATCCCAATTGGTTCACAATGGGCTATAATACTGATACATTCCAGAAATTCTTATTTTTAAAAAAGACAAGGGTGAAAATTTGGACATTATGGTAGGTAGGCTTACGAAAGAACACAAATTTATTGGCTCAGATTTTACTATTCACAGATTCTTAAATCACCTGATCGTTCTGATCTCTTGTATAATGTTTTATGTTGCTTTGCAGAAAGAAAGAAAGAAAAAGAAAAGAAAAGAAAAGAAAAGAAAAGAAAAGAAAAGAAAAGAAAAGAAAGAAAGAAAGAAAGAAAGAAAGAAAGAAAGAAAGAAAGAAAAAAGTATCTTTGCCTGAACACAGACAATTAAAATAAAGTCCTGCCATTGTCATGGTAGCCATAAGGCCTTCAGAGTCAAGACAATGAGATCACTTCTGAAGAATCCAATCTTCTGCTAAAAGGGGTATGATTCTTTAATCAACTTTCAACAAAGCTCACAACAAAAGCTATAAATTTGATAACCTCATACATACACATATAAATAAATATTTGACTCTGTTAAGATGTGAGTTAACTATAAAGATAATCATGGCTTGTATTTAATTGCTTATTCCACTAAAAAGAAAAATTTGACCTTTCTAGAAAGTACTTTGGAAGCATTAACTTGCCTTGTAGGATATTATACAGAGGATTAAGAACTCTACAAAATAATTTATGTATAATAATGTTCATCACATGATTATTTATAATGACAAACACACACACACACACATACACACACACACACACAAAACCCTATAAGCAACCCAAAACATTCAACAATGAGAAAATGGTTAAAGAATAGTACCTCATATGAGAGAATATTATGTAACCATTGGAAAAGATGTCAAAATACACTTATTAGCATGAAAAAAAATTAATATTACTATATGAAAAAGGACAAAAACTAAGTATATTAGATCCCAATTTAATTTTTAAAATATAATATATACACACAAACACATTTATACAAGTGAATAGAAAAAAATGAAAACAAATATACCTAAATTTTAATGCATTACTATAGATGGTAAAAATCACAGGTATTAAATTTTCCTTGTACCTGTCTGTATTTTCCAAATTCCCCCAAGATATGGGGGAAAGCTTTTTTTTTTTAAGTCTTCTATTCTCACAGAAAGATGTCTGAATATATTTTAAGAAAAATATTTCTTTTTTGTTTGGAGGAGAGGGGACTCTAGAATCCAGCATCTGTTCACGGATGAAAGTAGAAAACCATATAAATTCATTCAACCAGGCTTATCAGTTTACTATAAATAGACAATAGGGATTAAAAAACTATTATAACAATAAACTAACCTATAATTCCAGTATCATGGCCCAACAAGAATATAAAATAAGAAAACTGTCTTTATAAAAAGAATAGTGACATAATATAAAGATCAGTTTGAAGGAAGAAGAGAAGTTCTTTGGAGTAAAAGTGTCAAACAGAAAAGCAGAGGTAGAGACAAAATGAGCTCCATGAATGAAAAAAGTTGTTTCATCTGCATGCCAAGTATATCTTATAGTGCTGGAGAAGTTTAAGAACTCTTCTTATGTATACCTATACACTTGAAATAGCAACTAACCATGAATGATTTTATAACTAAATACAAAGGTGGATAATATGTATATTTATATAGGATATATATCTCGCATTCCATGTCTGTTTATAGGAAAATGTGCTTTTGTATTGCTTTGACCAGGTACAAAGTAACTACATTATGAATAAGGTCTGAAAACAGAGGCTTCATATCTAAACATTCCCTCAAGCTATACGGTACTACAAATTCATATATATAAGCAAAGAAAAATCCTTAAGGTCATAAAAAGCTACCTACCAATAAAAAACATGATCACTTTTTGACAAATGGTTAATTAAGTACTTTATTCTAAAGATATTGTCAAGTAATAAATTATAATTTAAGATTTAACTGTGTTATTTAAAATATTCTCTTAAAAGCCAGAGTATGTATGATGATTCTTTACCTACTAGTTTCACCCTCCTCAGTCTGGCAAACGTTAGATTTTCTCACTTACACTTAAAAGTAGAGCCAAAATTAACAGCTTTAAATATAGTGCTTTACGCCAATACCATGCCCAGCTTTGGGTTTTTTTGTTTTGTTTTGTTTTAACTCCCTGAGTTATCAGCAACATCAAATTACTGCCAGGAATTTCAAACCCTTGACTTTAAAATGTTAGAATAACTCACCTGGGGCATATGACTAGTCTACAAAAATAGTAGACAGTTAAAGTCCATAAGGCTTGCTTAATCAGAGTCTATTTACATCATTATAATTAAAAAATAATAATCAATGAAAACAGATGCCATGTTAGGGTCCACAACTCAAATACTGCAGGGATTAATGAGCCAATAAAACCCAGGTATGGTTCCAATATACCAATAAACAGGCAGATGGTTAGCCTTCACTATCTGAATATTTTCAAAGCAAGCAAACAGTTAACATAAATGGTGAAAAGCAAATAAAGATATTCAAGTATTTTTGTTTTTAATAAGGCTAAAGTGACATCAGTAATTGAAATTAGGAGATATGTTCCTCAAACATATTTAGATAAACAAATACTACTTCTTCCACTATCTAGCTTGTATGGCCTTGGACAGGTCAATTTGATATCTCTAAACTCAAATCTGTCTTCGTTTGTAGATTTGGCACAATACCAACCACCTCAGAGTTGTTATGGGGTCAGAATGGATTGATAAATGAGAGAATACTTTGCAAATGAAAAATATCTATGCAAATATAAACCATAATCTTTCCATTCTGATTAAAAGCAACTAAATAGTCTTTCTGTTTTAGAACTATCAAAGCTTGATATGTGAATATTAAAACTAAATACTATACTTAATCACTAAATATAAGGATAAAAACAAAGCTTTCGGTTTCTAAGCAGAAAACTGAGATCAAACAGAATCCTTCGATAGTGAAATATGTTTTTTTTCTTTCACTGAAGGCCATCTATACCTTTAATATATTTCAGATATACCTACCAGACACTATATTACTGCTAATTATCTTGCCCCCCAAGGTAGCTAATGATTTGGGTACTACTGTAATGATGCTACCACTGGTAGTTTTCACATAGGTTGCAGCTCCAGGGGTTGCAGCCATCCGACCTATAGATGGGCTCACTGTTGGCCTAGTATAGGTTGCTTGTGTGCCTATAAAAAGGGAAAAGCCAAAAGAAAAACTTGTCATTACATATAGAAGAATAATAATTTATACAGTTTAAGTATAATTTAATACAATCTACATTTCTTTAACTTGAAAATGGAATTTCAAGGTGTCAAGACAGTAATTTATATTTTTACAGCCAGTTTTCAACGCACATAGCAAACACTACAGCCAAGTCAATTTAAATTAATTTTACACATAAAATTTTGTGATGTGTTGCATCAAATTACTAACCCAAGAAAAAGTAGAGCTAATTCTATTCCCTTATTCCACTACCCTTCTTCCACTAGTTTTATGCCAAAAGAAACTTAAATTTAATCATCTTTCCTGCCAGAGCATTTTAGATATTTGTTATAGATTTATAGGTTTCTGCATCTGTTTTATGATGTCTCAGTGCCAAACCCAATGTCAGCATTCTGCAAATAAGGCAGTATTATTTGATTAAAATTTTACAAACTTTTACTGTTTTGTACTTTCCTACCCTCTAAATATATTTCCACCTTTTAAAGGGTTATTCCATCATTTTAGTAGAGATTAAAGTTGAAGCTGCCAAGAGTTGCCAGGAATATTTCTCTTTAGCCTAAAATGTTCTCTATTTACATATATCCTCAACTTTAACTGACCTGCTTAAGGATATTTTTCTTCATGTCTCTCAAAAGATTTTACACCTTTTCCCACTATTTCTAAGACTTTTCTCTTTTCTCAAACAGGAATAAAAAACTAACTAGAAGAGTCTGTTGTTGTTTCTTATAAATCCAGTAATTCAGAAAGACTATTCCTAAACTGGGAATTAATAGCCTTGGGGAGAATGAAAAAAAATGACTAAGATAACACCTTCTTCTAAGAAAATAATTTTTTCATGATTAGATTCAGAGGCCACTGTGATAGCCATTTTCAACAACCCCTCCCCAAATGCTTTTATCAAGTTATTTATCATTTTAAAATATAGCCACTATTTTTAAAATGGAGGAGGAAAAGACCATTAAGTAGAATTAGTTTAAATTGGTTACAAGGATATATCTGAGTCAGAAAATCTAGTGCAAAGTAAATAGCTACATGGATTCATAGTTTGAATCTGCTGAATTATAACTGAAAAAAATTTCTTATTAAGCTTTTGTCTTAAAACCACTTATTCTAATATAGACTCAAAACACAGACATATCACTTTCTACTACCTTTATATATATATAAGGAATCATATATCTGTAACACTACTGTCTGTGCCAAATGGAGAAATGATTGGGGGAAACACTATAAATTTAATACAATAGTAACAGTGTTTAAAAGCACATGCTTCACATACAGAAAATAGTATAATAGTTGCTAGAGGATAGGGGAAGTGGGGGAATGAAGAGTTATTGTTTAATGGGTATAGAGTTTCAGTTTGGGAAAATGAGAAAGTTCTGGATGGTGCTGATGGTTGTGCAACAATGTGAATGTATTTAATGCCAAAGAACTGTACACTTGAAAATGGTAAATTTCATGTTAGGTATATTTTACACCCTCCCACCCCTGAAAAAAAGAAAGCACAGGTTTTGGAGTGAAACAGATTTGATAGGTTCAAACCCCAGTTCTACCTCTTTTTGACTATGTAACCTTAGCAAGTTGTTTAATGCCAAGTCACTGAAAATGGAGATAATAAAACTTAAAGGAGATTAAATGCTATGTCTACATAGACCTTTACATACTGGCCAATAAATGACAGGTATCATTGAGACAGGTATCATTTTACATTATTTAAATTCTGTCATCTAAGTACCAGCCCTCAAAAAGTTTGATTAAGAGTTACACACATTTAGGCCGGGTGCAGTGGCTCACGCCTGTAATCCTAGCATTCTGGGAGGTCAAGGCGGGAGGATTGCTCAAGGTCAGTAGTTCGAAACCAGCCTGAGCAAGAGCAAGATCCCGTCTCTACTATAAATAGAAAGAAATTAATTGGCTAACTAAGATATATATACAAAAAATTAGCCGGGCATGGTGGCGCATGCCTGTAGTCCCAGCTACTTGGGAGGCTGAGGCAGTAGGATCGCTTGAGCCCAGGAGTTTGAGGTTGCTGTGAGCTAGGCTGATGCCAGTGCACTCACTCTAGCCTGAGCAACAAAACGAGACTCTGTCTCAAAAAAAGAAAAAAAAAAAATAGTCCCAGCTACTTGGGAGGCTGAGGCAGTAGGATCGCTTGAGCCCAGGAGTTTGAGGTTGCTGTGAGCTAGGCTGATGCCAGTGCACTCACTCTAGCCTGAGCAACAAAACGAGACTCTGTCTCAAAAAAAGAAAAAAAAAAAAAAAGAGTTACACACATTTAAAATAATAGTAATGGCTAATTCTAATATTAACAGTAATAGCTATTGGGCACTATTCTAGGGACTTTTTACCTACTTGATTTCATTTAATACTTATGGCATAGGTATTATTACCCCAATTAAATAGACAAGGAAAAAGGTTTAGAAAGATTAAGTTACCTGCTCAAGGTCACAAAGGGTGGTACTATTTAAAATATTACACATAGTCACTTCCTCCAGCATAGGTTGATTGCTCTCCTATCTAGGCACAATGGCATCTGTGCTTCCCTCAGTCTTACAGTAATGCTTACTATACTGCAATGTAAGAAAGACTCTCAGTATCATCAGAGTGAGATCCTTGGGGGTTGGGTCTATTTTTATTCATTCAACAAATCCTAAGTGAGTACCTACTTACAGACCAGCTCTACATATACATGGTGAATAAAATAAATATTGTCCCATATCCTCATAGAACTTATCATTTAATAAGGAGAAGAACATTAAACAAATCAACAAACAACTAGCTGAGTAACTAGAAATTATGTTAAGTGCTATGGAAGAAAAGAACAGAGAGCTAATTTCAGGGCAGTGTAGGCATGAGAGTCAAGAAAGCCCTCTTTGAAGAACTGTCTCATTAATCTCTATATCCCCAATGTCAAGCCTACTGCTGGTACAGAGAAATTGTTTGATGAATATATGAAAAATGAATGAATTGATGCTCAAGGGAACTTACCAGTAGGAGTGGTTACCAGTTTAGTTGTCATAATTGCACCATTACTGCTAACCACCATAATAGGGGAATTGCTACTGGTGGGTAGAGTTGCTGTCACTGGTTTGGGTAGGATTTTACTTGGCTGAACCTGTTGTGTGATGATTTTAACACCTTTCAAAGAAAAAAGATATATCTTAGAACAAATTATTTTTAAAAACATGTCCCTTATATCAACCCAAGAGGGCAGTAGTCACACACATTTACTCAGTCTTGCCTATAGAAAAGCTTTTATCATATTGATGAAACTCTGTAAACTTTAATTCTTCAAATGCCTGTCTTTCCTAATTTCTCTCATTTCAGGAAAGCAACTAAAACATTACATTAACAGTTCTTAAAGAAAAAAATATTTTCTTTTGTCTATATATCATGTAAGAGCTTTCAAATCAAAGTTATCCATTGGCCTTGAATTTTTACAAGCAAATAAATACAAATATTTAGGATGAAAGGACTAGCATAGAAGTCAAAAACAAAAGTTAGGCCGGGCGCGGTAGCTCACACCTGTAATCCTAGCACTCTGGGAGGCCGAGGTGGGCGGATTGCTCGAGGTCAGGAGTTCGAAACCAGCCTGAGCAAGAGCAAGACCCCGTCTCTACTATAAATAGAAAGAAATTAATTGGCCAACTAATATATATGGAAAAAATTAGCCAGGCATGGTGGCGCATGCCTGTAGTCCCAGCTACTCGGGAGGCTGAGGCAGCAGGATTGCTTGAGCCCAGGAATTTGAGGTTGCTGTGAGCTAGGCTGACGCCAGTGCACTCACTCTAGCCTGGGCAACAAAGTGAGATTCTGTCTCAAAAAAAAAGAACAAAAACAAAAGTTAATGTAGCTTTTATGTATTCCCAACTCCACCAAAGATTTTTCACAACTCCTTAAACTTACATAAAATCTGCTAAAAACTATTAAAGACCAAGAACATTTTTTGATTTAATTCTAAATTGCCTTCTTTTAAAAGTACTTTTAATAGCTCACTTTGACAAATACAGAATACATAACGAGATACACTATTATTGCACCTACACAAAATATGCATGTGGACAAGAACTTGAGGGCAATATGCAAAAATAAAATAAAAATGTTAGGGTAATGATGTTATGATGTTTTTTAATTTTCAAAATTTTTATTTAAAATGCCCTAATTGTTACACTGACTATCCAAATGTAAATATTCCATTAACAGAAATTTCTTATGCTAACTACAAATTTAAGTACTAATATTTTTTTTTCAGACATCTCTTAAACCTGTATAAGTACTAATATTAATAATTGGTAACTAAAGAAGGAAATTTTTGGTAACACTTTCCCCCCATGAGCAAGTAGAATTTACTTCAGATATGCAAGGCTGGTCCAGCAGAAAATCAATCAATATAATTCAGCATATCAACAGACTAAACAAAAAAAACCCCACATCAACATGTTAATTGAACAGAAAAAGCATTTGATAAAACCCAACACTTATTCATAATATAAATTCCCAGAAAACTTGGAATGGAAGAGCACTTCATCATGATAAAAAGCATTCCCCAAAAACCTAAAGCTGGCATTATACTTAATGGTGAAAGACTGAATGCGTCCTCAAGATCAGGAACAAGGCAAAGATGTCCACTCTCCTCACTCATTTATTCAACATAGTATTGAAAGTTCTAGCTAGTATAATAAGACAAGAAAAAGAAATAAAAGACATACTGATTGGGAATGAAGAAGTAAAACTCTCCCCTTTTACAGGTTAACACAATTCTGTACATAGAAAATCCCAAGAGATCTATGTAAATACTCCTAGAACTAGTAAGCAACAGAAAACTCACTGCATCCAATCAAATTGATACCTAGAACTAGTAAGTGAGTTCAGCAAGGTCAAAGGGTACAAGATCAAAAGGGTATAAGATCAAAGGGTACAAGATCTTGTTTATATACTAATAAGAAATATATGGAAATTTAAATTAAAATCATAATACCATTTATAATCACTCCAAGAAGATGCAACATTTAGGTATAAATCTAACAAAACACACACAGGTTCTTTATGCTGAAACTGTAAAACACTGTTGAAATAAGTCAAAGAAGACCTAAATAAATGGAGAGACATATGGTGTTCATGGACTGGAAGACTCAGAGAACTGATGATTGGGGAAGAATTACCACGTCTTGTAAACATTTTCCAGTTACCTGACTCCTGTTTGATCTGGATGGTAGGTTTGATACCAGGTGGCAAAGGAGACTGCTGAGGCTGTTGCTGATGGGATACTGGAGAAGGTTGGGCCACTTGTTGCTGTGTCTGTTGTTGCACTTGATGTAATTGCTGCTTAGGAGACTGTTGATGCTGTTTAGGAAACTGTGCAAGAATCTGAGTTGGGGCACCCACTAAGTTTTTGGGAGAAGGAAGTCTGGTTGATGCCATTTTGATTGCTGATGTAGACACACCTGCACAAGAGTAAGGGAAAAGAGAATGTGAAAGGCAAGCATAATTAAAGTTACTTCTGGTTATTATAATAGATAATATTTTAAAGACTAAATCAATAAAAACTATGATTTACTGAGCACCTAGTAAGTGTCAGATAAAATGTGCAGTTTTTTACGTTTTTGATATCTAGTCCGCAAACTCTGCAAGGGAGGCATCATTGCTCTCAGATTAAAAAATGAATTGATTTTCCCTAGGTGAAGAGTTAGAATGAAAGAAACAAAATCTCACACAGGATGTTCCCCGATCTGTTTCTCAACAGATTTTTTAGAAAATGTAGGTTCTCAATGTGAATAATATAAGAATAAAGCACATTTATTAATTTTTGAATCTTATTTATAAGTAATACATTTTTCAAATATTACTTCTCAGGTTCTAATCAGTCAATTTAAACATGACATCAGATAAAGTAACTCACACTTAAACACTCATCTTTTAAACTATTTAGCAAGGTAAAATAGTTTTTGTATATCTCATTTCTAATAATCTATAAGATAAAGTCATTTCTTGAAAATTCTAACTGGTTGACTAAATAATCATGTGAAAAATTTTTATATCTACAGCAAAAAAATTCTGATAATAAGAACCTTTTCAGTGCAATGCTAATATTAGCAAGCATACATAAACAAGAAGTGCTAGTAACTGTCACTGAAGATGTATGAGTTTGAGAAATTCTTTCTTCTCTCAGATTTTTCATCTATAATTTTTTTTTATAATTAATCAACTACCCAACAGGACTATTATCTGTCAATGAGTTAAGTTAATATTCCTAACAGAGAGAACCTGGAATATAACTCTCCATATTTACTTTTTAAGCACTGCTGAAACAATGAAAAAAATTAATAACCTAATTCTCAAGTACTTAGGATGTTTTTTTGCATACCTTCCTCTACCTTCTTCCACCAAATCCTCACCATGACAAATACACTCACTGTATTACAGAAAAATTTTAAATACAAATATCACATTCTTATGTCTCTAGAAAATGATAAAAATAGAGAAGGATAAACAATATTCAATATATAGAAATAAATATAAGTATAAATATGAGTGTTTATGTATACACTCCCTGGGAATAAGCATATCTAGCACTCAAATCTTAACTTCTAATTGTTACTTTCCAATAAAAGGAACCAGGGCACCTTGCAGAAATAACTGATTCCAAGGCTGGAGTAGGAAAAGAACAAGATGAGCTTGGTAAATAAAAAAGGCTTTTTCCCCGACTTCTTTTATAATTTCTTTAAAAGTAAATCACCTGTTTGAAGCAAAAATACTAACAATACAATTTAAAGTTTATAATATATACATAGAATTAAAATGTATGACAACCATAGTACAAGGACAACAGAGGGGAAATGGAAGTACTGTTTTAAGATTTTAAAATGATACATAAAGTGGTATATTATTTGAAGGTAGAATATTAAAAATTAAAAATCTATACTGTAAGTTCTAAAGCTGGGTTCTCAACCAAGAGCAATTTTGGTGCCTCCTCTCTCCCCCAGGACAGCTGGAAATCACTTACAGACATTTTTGATTGCCATGACAGGGGGGATGCTATTGGCATCTACTTGGTAGAGACCAAAAATACTGCTAAACATCCTATAGTGTTTACACAGGTCAGCCCCCATAAGAAAAAAAATAATCTAGTCCAAAATGTCAATAATGTGGAGGTTGAGAAATCTATTTTTGACTATTTTTTTTAAGTGTAGCTAATAAGCCAATGGAGGAAATAAAATGGAATCCATTAAAAGAAAAAAACTCAAATCCAAAAGAAGATGGGGAAAAGGAATAAAAGGACAAATGAGACAAATAAAAACAATTATCAGGATGACAGACTTAGCCGGGCATGGTGGCTCACACCTATAATCCTAGCATACAGGGAGGCCAAAGTGGGTGGACAGATCAAGGTGAGGAGTTTGAGACCAGCCTGAGGAAGAGTGAGACCCCGTCTCTATTAAAAAAAAAATAGAAATTAGCTACACAACTAAAAATATATATATGAAAAATTAGCATGGTGGCACATGCCTGTAGTCCTAGCTACTCGGGAGGCTGAGGCAGTAGGATCACTTGAGCCCAGGAGTTCGAGGTTGCTATGAGCCAGGCTAATGCCACAGAACTCTAGCCCGGGAAACAGAATGAGAATCTGTCTCAAAAAAAAAAAAAAAAAAAGATAGACTTAAACTCAATCATATTGATAATTATATTACATGTAAATGGACTAAACACTCCAAGCAAAGGTCAGAGATGGTCAGACTGGAGGAAAAAAGAAAGATCCAACCACACAATGCTCATAAGATATGCATTTTAAATATACAGGCACAGATGAGATAAAAACAATAGGATAAAAAAAAGATATGTCATATAAGAAAGTTGGAGCAGCTACATTAACATCAGAAAAGGCAGACATCAGGCCAGGCTTGGTGGCTGAAGCCTATAATCCTATCACTCTGGGAGGCCAAGGCAGGAGGATCACTTGAGACACCATCTCTACAAACGACAGAAAAATTAGCTGGGCATAGTGGCACATGTCTGTAGTCCCAGTTACTTGGGAGCCTAAGGCAGGAGGATTGCTTGGGCCCAGGAGTTTGAGGTTGCAGTGAGCTATGATGAGGCCACCACACTCCAACCTGGGTAACAGAGATCCTGTCTCAATAAAAAAAGAAAAGACAGACATCAAGACATCAATGGTGGGGGGTGTCAGCCCATGTGCAGAGGGCTCCCATGGGGGGTGTCAGGCCATGTGCAGAGGTCTCATGTGGGGCTGTGAGGGCGGTGTGCAGAGGCCTCATGTGAGGGTCGTTGGCCGGTGGGAGAGGGCTCACGTGGGGGGTGTCGGAAAAACAATAAATAAATAAATAAATAAAAGATATCTATGATAACATCTAGCATTACCACAGATAAAGAGGAACATTTCATAATGAAAAGGAGATCAATTCATTAAGAAGATACAACAAATCCTAAATGTGTATGTACAAAAAACTGACAGAATTACAGGGAGAAATGTACAATGCCAAAATTATGGCTAGACATTTTAAAACTTTTTTCTCAGTAACTGACATAACAAGCAGAATCCCCTCAAAATAGAAAAACACAAAGAGAATCTGAACAATTTTATCAACAAGTTAATTTCATGGACATGCACAGGAGCAAATGAAAGTCAATTGCTCTAAAACCAGTTATTCCTTTCTCCTCTGACCTACATTTCTTACAGAATCCTGTCTTCTCCCCTCAAGAATTCACCTTCTTAATTTAGGCTAGGATTTAAAAAAAAAAAAAAAAAAAAAAGAATCTACCTTCTTAGGCATTAGTCTGTACTTTTAGTGAGGCTGGCCCTAAGCCAGCTCTAGAGGGCAATTCCTAATTAAAACAGTCATGGTGGCCTCATCACTTTTGCCAGGTACTAGTTTAGGCAAGAGTATGACACAGTTGTGGCCAACATGACATGAGGGCAATCTTCACCTGTGGGACTCCTGGGAAAAGTTTTCTCTTTACTAAGACAGACCCACAGAAGGAGATTATCTCTTCTCTCTTTGAACATTTTCATAGCTGGATGTGGCTCTTGAAATGTACTCATCTTGCCCATGACGAGAATTACCTGAGAAAAAAGCTGACATACCAAGAAAAGCAGAGAAGAAAGATAAAAAGAAACTTCTTGATTTCTCCACTGAGCTATTGTCTAACTTAACCAGACCCTTCCTTTTTCTGGACTTTTGGTTTTATGAGGTAATAAATTTTCTTATTATAAAAAACAATTACTCAATCAATGCAGATTTATGTGATAACATTCATTCAATCACTTACCACATTTTCCAAGTAAATTTAGATATTAACAATCCAGAGGATTTCATTAAACAGTTGAATGCACAAAAGAAAACAGGCTGCTGTGAATACACTGAAGCAAACATATCAATCCATGTTTGGAGAAATTATGGTCTAGGATACATTGGTATTTTTGAATAAATATGAAATACTTAAGAGTTTTCAACATAAACCCTAGAGAGAGGATGAAGCGCAAAAAGGTTTTTTCAAAAAAGCCATGAAAGTGAAGGGGAAAGGTGGTCCATGAATGTTAAGAACAATACCCATGTTTTGTTTTACACCTACAGATACTAAAGAAAAAAATTCAGGTATAAAGCAATATACAGGTTAAGTATCCCTTACCCAAAATGCTTGGAACCAGAAGTGCTTCAGATATTTTTTCAGATTTTAGAACATCTGCATACATATAATTAGATATCTTGGGGATGTGGCCCAAGTCTAAACATGAAATTCATTTATGTTTCATATATACCTTAATACACATAGCCTGAAAGTAATTTTATGCAATATTTTTAATCATTTTGTGCATGAAACCAAGTTTGTATACATTGAACCATCAGAAAGCAAAGATGTCACTATCGCAGCCATGTGGACAATCTGTGGTTGTTTGGCATCACCATCATTCCTGACTTTGAATTTATATGTTACTGATAAGCAATCATTTTCTTATACTTATTCACATATAAATACTTAATAGTAAAAAATATGATATATCATTAATACAATGAGGAAAAAAATGTGTTCAGGGTAACTAAACAGCACAGTAACATTACCAGAATACCGTTATCAGCTGTTAAACAACAGCAATAACAAACAGTGATAAGCTTTCAGTCTCTACCTATAATGCTATGTCTTGATTAAAAGGTTACTATATACTGTATACTGTAACTGTATACTATATTTTCTTTTTAGGCAGTTGAGGGACCAAGAAGTAGAATCTCTATGGATGAGGAGGCATTCTGCTGGATGGTTTTTAAAAATGTTTCCTTAGAGTCATCTGCCTCATTAACAACAGTTTTTGTCTTAGAAATTTCTCTTTGATTTTATAAAGTTACATGATTTATTTTTCTGTTATGAATGCACTTTGCTCTAGTCCTTCAATAAACTCATCACACAGTTTCACCATGTTGCCTACAGGCACTTT